AAAAATTTAATGCTTTTCAATTACACAAATTCTTAGTGACGATTACTTTATAAATCTCACTTCTATTTGATCATTTATAAATAATCATTTTACGTTCACCTTGTGAAACAAAAAATATTTATTTTCTTCATATAATCTTGAATTTAATCAGGGGTGGATTTATACATGATGGAAAGAAGTCTCCCTTTATAAGCTAAGTGTTAGATGAGGGTCCCAATCAAAGTTAGGTGAAAGCCCTAAACAGTGTTAATCGAGGGCCCAAATCACTATTAATGTTAGCTTTATTTTCTCCATATAATCTTGAATTTAATCAGGGGTGGATTTATACATAATGGAAAGAAGTCTCCCTTTATAATCTAAGTGTTAGATGAGGGTCCCAAGTAATGTTAGGTGAAAGCCCTAAACAGTGTTAATCGAGGGCCCAAATCACTATTAGTGTTAGCTAAGGACCCTCAAAGAGTGTTAACTTACTTTAACTCTCTAAAAACATATTTTCTATATTTTTTTATGCTCGATTTAGAATCAGGTTTCGAGATCACTTTTAATTTCTAATAAACTACATATTTGGTTGGCATTATTACGCCAATTAAGTAATTGCCGATAAAGTTTATGTTCAATAACTATTGATCATGATAGTTCATTGAACTCCTATCATGAATAACAGTATCCATCGTAAAATTATTAGAACAACAGCAGAGAACAAATTGCCTCAATCTTGAAATTGTAATCTAAAAATTCTAGGCTCTAATACATCCGCTAAACAAAGGAGAGGAAATCTTGTAAATACGAGAAGAGTGTGTGACAAATCCGCAAGAAAGAAGGCCACTTACAGCGACGCCACAACAAAATGCAAAAAGTAATGTAATTATTTTGAATTACCGTTTTCCCGGAATAAGATGCATTTTGTCGCCATAAAGCGTGCAAGTATAAAGTGAGCAACTAAGAGGAAACCCACCCGAAATGAAATGCACGAGAGCCGCTTTACACGTACAATAAATTGCCGAGCTTATTTAAAACTTTATAATTATTTTTATGTAAATTCCACCTGTCTTTTTCAGTACTACATACTTCATCTCTTTATTCCTCTCTTTTTCTCGCAGTAGAAAAAAATGAAAAAATTACAGGTTTTACAACAAAAAAAATGTACAAAACGCAGATTGTTATTTTAGTATCAATGAAAAATCACAATTTTTATTTTTTTTTAAATTAAATATTTCAGCATTAACTTTTTCTAGTATTTATTAATAAAGAATAATAGAGTTTAAAAAATAATAATAAAAACAACTAATTATATGAAGTTAAAAAGATTTCACTTTGATAACTCAGTTTTAACAATATTTTAATGCTTTATTCCTCTTTTCTAAAAAAATATATTAAACATGAATAAATGCAAGAATTTCGGCATATTCGCTAGAGCCAACAAAAAATCTAGAGCCTATGAGAACTTTTGGGGTACACGTAAAAAAATAAATTAGGGTTCAAGAATATATATTTTTGTGTTAAGTTGAATAAAAGATGCCAAAGAAGTGGGAAGTTTAGTGTCTAAGGCACAGGACAACCTTAATAAAATAATTAATAAAAGAATTAATATTCATACAACAAATTTTGTATTTACATAATAAAATACGTCAATAAACATTGATGCTATTATCTTTTCTGCATGTTATTCAATAGTATTAAATTGAAAATATCATGCAGCTATCGCATTAGATAAATGTAATCTTGAATGACTTACAGAAAAGTAAAGTTACTTCTTCAATAGAAACAAAAAGAAGCGTTACTTGCAATGGTCGTCTCATATTATCGTGACTATTTGCGTATTGTTATCCATCAATATTAAATGCTAAACCGTTATTTCTTCAGAATCATTCAACAACAGTGCATTTCAACGTTATTATATTATTGAGTTACGCAACGCAAAAGAATTATAGATTCATCGACTGAACACATATGCAGTTTATTTATGATCGTATTGAGAATCACGGAACTGCTTACGAAACAAACATATTTACTTAGACGAAAGTATGCAGATATGATCTTATTTTTTAAGTATTCGTGATTAGAAATACTTTATCTATTACATAAATTTATCGGCATTATCCAATGAATATACAGATAGAGAGAGAGAGAGAGGCGCAAGTTTATAGTGGTGGAAGATAAAGCGGATCGCATTGTATAAATATTGTGATTTTGAAGTTATTTAATCTATATTTACATTTTCGTTCGAACTTTGTTTCAAGTATTTAATGTATACGCATTATCTTTATCAAGATAATAAATTATGGGCATTAAAGTGGCCGGAGTATTTCCACTTTAGAATATAAGAAATTTCGAAGATAACAACTTGCACTGCATGTTATTCACTTCGTAATTAATAACAGAAACTGCGTCTGCCGTCGAATTATAATAACCTATCTTATTAAATTCCATCGGATGGATCGACCGCAATTATTTTGTTTTTGTATTGACGTTTAATGATCATGGTTTAACGTGACAGTTTGTATGAAGGTACGAGGCATAAATGTGTTTGTATTCGAACTAGTGCGAACTCATTAATCTTTTGGGAAAATGGTGTCAAAAGCGGTGACATTATTGTATCGAACTTATCAGTTCCTGTCAATCTTTTGGCTTAATATATATGTAGAAAGAGAGAGAGAGAAAAACGAACGTATAAAAATGCATCCCCGTTAACCTTTCGAGCACAGGTAGTTAAAATCTGATATGGCCGATGTTATGGTTCCCTTCCTACTCCATCATTAAATCTAAATAAAATATATTTAACTCTGAATTGATTCAGAATACATGTAAATTGTTAATGAAACGGTCGGAATAAAATTAATGACACATAACGCATTCCATTGTGCAAATTGCAAGGTCAAACGAATACAGTTTCTGTGTGTGTGTGTGAGTGTGTTTTTTTTATTATATTTCGTATCACAACAAAGTGCATTCTCAATTATAATAATTATAAGAATTATCTGATTCGTTCGGCATTTTTCACACATTTTCAAATAGATATTGTACTTTTATGTAGTTAATGCTCAATTATTTGCACATTAAGCCAATGTATCAACATATTTTAGGAGGATTTATTTTTCAATTCTTAATATTTATTTCATTCTTAATTGGCTTAAATTAAAGATAATCATTTGTATATTGAAAAATGTTATGATTTACAGTGACCAGAATCAATCTAAAAATTATATAATTAGTTAAAAAGTTTTAAACATTTTATAATAATCAATGCAAAACATTATGTACTTACTTTATTCGTAAAATAGAATTTTTTAATAAAATATGATTCTATTGGTAAATTGGCTATAAGTTGCGCGATTTTTTAAATAAATAAATATTAAAATAATTAATAATTAAAGTTTATAGTAATCATAAAAACCGCAATACTTCCAACTTATCCCAACTATTAATTTATTATATTTAATATTTGTGATCAAAGTTTCAATTACAAATAACCAAATTTTGTTTATTATTATGTACAAAGAAATATACTCGAAATATACATCTACTTCAACGATCGCCAACCTTTCGAACCATTAAAGTCCAAATTTTTGATGCCACGGACCACTGATTTTTTCTCCCATAAAAGTAACATTCTAACGTTATTGAAAGAAACTGGAATTAAATAATTATAAGGTGAAAATTGCGAAAAAAAATTAAGTAGAAAAATGTTGGCTGTTTTTTTTTTCAGTCAAAAAGTATATATAAAAATTCACTTAATAAGATTTATATATATTTATTGTAAATATAATAATAGTAGTTTTTTTCATTCATTTCTATTCAATATAAGTATAAAATAACTGTATAAATTAGCTTAAATTAAATAATACAATAAGTATCTTCGCTTTCTTCATACAATACTGCATATATCTATATAAATATAACTTATAAGTGTAAGTATACGAATAATAACTATATGAATTGTAACTAAAGTAAATATGTTTAACTTATAAATATCTTGAAATATTATACAATCAACAAAATGAGTAACATTGTCTACTTTATTTAATATAAGTTGAATAACTATATGAATGTAAGATAAATGTCAATTTAATTGATAGATTTTTCATTTGAAATATTGGAACAATAACGAGATAGAATTGTGTTGATGATTTAGGACAACGTGCAAAAAGAAGAACACCGTGTGTACATACAATGATGCGGTTATTGAATACGGCTTTTCAACGATGCAATTAGAGGCGTAAATAACAGAGAGAAAAAAAGACAAAACAACGAAAAATAATCAAATTCCTGAAAAGCTATGAACTTTCACTTCATTGTCTGTCATGGAGTGTGCAAGGCCAAAGGGTATACAATAGATCCGAGATTACGTAGTATGCTGCATCCCGGCGCGCCAAACAAACCGATAACATCCGTCCGATTATAAACATTTCAGTTAAATAAAATAAAATAAAGTTACCATTTATATATATATATATGTTTGTATATGTATGTATTATATAGATATAGATACATGAGCTCTGTTACTTTCTGTGCATTTGTCCAGCACGGGATTGCGCGGGACGATTTCCTGGATGCAGGATTCATTTATCTGACGGCCCTGATATAACGCGTTTTATGAATGTATATCAACTTACTCAACCAATTAATATATGTATTTGCATGTATGTATATGTAAAATGGGACTACCAAATGCATAAATACAAAGTAAACAACATAAAAAAAAGCTAAATAACGATTGCTGATAAAGCTGGTGATAACATTGGACATTATATTGTTATCAAGCTGCGATAACAATAATATAATGTGCCTGCGTAGATATTCTATATCAGCTCGCGTATATATGTGGCTGAAAAATAACATTTAAATAAAACAATGCAACGTTGTTCTACAATAATTCGAAATCGAAACAATGTATATAATAACAATACTAATAAAGAATGAATACAAGCAATTGAACTTTTACCCTTTTCTTTGGGTATGGAAAGCGTAAGCGACAGAAAATTTGAAAAACATCCACCTACTTTTAAGCGGTTTTGGATTGCTCTGTTTCCGTCGTGACATTTTCTGCTCCAGAGTAAGTCCAGAACTTCTGTTTAATGTTTTCGCACGGCAGGGAACTTTCGCAATAAACGGTCTACCTATGGAAGAACAGGCACAGTCACATGGGCGAACATTGCGCAAAAAGAATATAAACACAAACAAAAACAAAAAATAATAATAATATTGATAATAAACGAGACACAGAGGAATTTGCGGAAACCACAAGCACAGACGGTGAGAGAAAGAAGGGAGTTGGTGCACAAGTTAAAGTGTTTTTTTGAAGTGGTGGTGGTTTACCGGCGTTATCGGAATTTCAAAGAATTATGTTTGTTTTTTTTTTTTGAATTTCCTTGCCACTGTTTTGACAAGGCGCACGTGTTTTTTGGTATTTGCTTGAAACCCGCGATGAGTAGCAGGTTACAGCTAGTGCGCGACTGGCAACAGTGAGTCACATTTGACGCTCGCAGGATAACCAAGTGTGGTGGAACAATCGCGCGCGCGCCTCCTCCAACTTCTGCTCCTTTATGGTCCAATAACTAATATCAATCAAACATTGCCACCATCCAATCACAATATACCATTTTCACAAATACACCTCTCAACTTATCACAACAATCACATCATACCTGTACATTATATTATTTTTCGCATGATCAAACAATGTAATTATAAAAAAAAAACATATTTATTTAGTTTATTGTAATATTTACGTAATTCATTATATACATCCAATAAAAATAAACAATTTGCAGAAATACAATCAAATTTATCAACAATCAAATAATACCTGTAATTTATTTAATTATTTGCATGATTACACCAACTAATTATGAAAAAAAAATATGTAGACTTATTTAATAGAAATAAATTATGTAATTAATTACATACATAAAATATAGAACTATTAATTATAAGCCAATTCAATAAAAATATACAATTTCGACAAATATAACTCACAAAAGCCTCCCTACGACTATACAACTAGAATGAAACAATTTAGATTAATTAATGGAAATTTGAACTTAAATCTTCGTAATAATCACATTTGTATTAAGAAAATTTATGTATATAATCTTTTGCTTAAATCAGAGAATAATTAACTAAAAAGAATTTGGATTGAAAACATTATATTAATTAATACAATAAAAAATACATTATGAATATACTAGTATTTCTTTAATACAATCAAATTAATAATAATCAATCAATTATCAATTAATAATAAATTACTGATTTTCTACCTCAATTCTGTGTTTTTTTTTTACTTGTTTCATAAATATACTAATGCATTCATATTAGACAAATAACTGAGAAAATAAGTTAATTTTACGTCACGAATGCATTATCTGCATTGTTTCCATATGTAACAATGGTGAAATGCAGATGATTTTGTACCTTATTAGCAGTTTACTTCTTCGGAAATCGATGTGATTTTTGTTTTGATTTTTTGTTCGAGAATAGAATTGTTCGAGAATTAAGAATTAGAGGAATCTAATTGTCATAATTGTTATACAATAGTGTTTGAATCATCCAGAGTTCAACGCATGTTTGAGTAGTATAGAATAATTTCTTTCTTCTACTTTACAAAAACATATGTTTATTTCGCACATACGATTGTATTCAATTATCACTCTCAAAAAATAAGTAAAAACATTCCATCAATCTAAACATATACAAAATCTTTAACAACTCTAAAGAACTATCGACTACATTTCTACCATTTTTTTATCATTTACGTGTAACAATAATTCACATCCAATAGTTATTACTGTTGTTTATCATTTCTTTGAAGAATTTTAGTTTATAAATAAATGAATAATCTTTTATAAGTAAACTAAAATTTCTTGAAAATGATATATTTATATATCTGTGATATCACCATTTTATTTGTGCGGTCCAAACTATCACTCTGATTTGTAGATACGCTATCAAAATTTCAAACTTCTCATTTCAATAAAATATAAATGGTGTCTACTCTGAATTTGTTCCAAGATTTATCACATAAAAGAAAGTAAATTAGATTTTCATTAACAATAATTATATTATATATTTTATTAAAATGTAATTTATTTAAAAACATCAACATAAAAAAAATTGTTTACTATTTAAAGTATTTTAAATATTCAAAGACATTGTTAAATAATTTATTACTTCTTAAAACATAATTAATATTGTTCTTATGAATCAAAAGCAATATCTATATATTTAGTAAAATTTGATATTTTTAATAATATCTACTTACATAAATTTATGTTTTAATTACCATCGTTATTTTTTGCACACTTATACACATTTCAAACGACGTCAATTACCTTAATCATACATGTTTTTCTTTATACATAGTTTAAGTAAACATCAATTTTTGTATAGCACACCTTATATTTATTGGAAGCTGAATATATTTCGAACCAATTTGAAATGCAAATAAAAATATATAATTAAACGAATTTTCAAAATAACTATGATGACATGATGCTGTTAATGTTAAAGAAATTATAGATATTTTGGTTTAAGTATTTATACATCACAATACAAATATATATAATTCACAAATATTAAGTAACAAAATACAAAGAAAAGACAAACGACTAATATTATAAATTATATCAGTTCTTGACTTATTGAAATGACCAACCAATTTCAATCTTTTATTTTCTTAACTTTAAAATTTGTGTACATCTTACTTTTCTCATTTATGTCTACTTGATCATTCATATGCGCTCGAGTCTATACGGAATATAAATTTAAAATGAAATTGTAACGTATTAAAACGTTAAAGCTTTCTAGCATTAGTGTACAGAGACATCTAGTATTGTATAACCGAAACAACGTTGCATAACGAAGTAACTGATAGATTGCAGCACTAGGAAATTTAAAGTAATCTACTAGAGAGCATCTAAATTTAACATTAGATGGCAATCAACGATGCAATTAATTATTATTTGTTCAAATACAAACAAACAAATCATTAACCTTTACAACATTTACAGTTAGAGATAAGACTTGAGAAATTACGTTAGTCAATAACATAAATCCGGTGGGAATGATAATAACAAATATAATAAATTTTATATTTAGTTAATAATAAAATAGTATTGAATGATGAACATCATTTACCAGTAACAATAAATATTACTTAATATATATTAGGGGGCGGAAATAACTGTTATTTATAACCGTTATTGTATATATTGTATTGACCCTTATTATTTTATTCATTACTAACTCATTAGTATTAATTACACTTAGGAAGATTCCACAACTAATCAATGTATAACGACTATTGTTAATCACCGTGTAAGGACTACTGTTGTACACAAATTAATGTTAAGTACAATCGTCCAAATATATTCTTCGGAAAAGTACTGTCTTCCCTTACCAAATATTGTACTCCCACTTTGAGATTTCCCTACTATTAAATAGGGTGTTTATGTAATACAAAGTTAGTTTTAGTCCTAATCTCAGAGGTTAGTCTGACCCTAGTAATAGTCCTAGTTACACTCATAAAAACCCTAGTAAAAAAACATGGAATCTAGGAAAAGAAGTTGTTAATAATCTTATAGTGAATAATAAAGTGTAAGGTAAAAAGTCCAACTTCACCTCTAGCATTCCTTAAAAACTCCACTAGGACTTCAAAGTGACATAACTACGAGATATTCCACAGTCTCCAGAGATATTTCAATCCCGGAACACGAGATAACAGTGAATTATTTTCATTATGATTATAAGTTTTATAATTTTTATTATTTGCTATTTTTTTCTGTACTTCAGCTTCATTATATTTTGTTTTTATATATTTAGATTTGAATTAGAAATGTTTTTATAATATTTTATATACTTATATTTCTTAATTATCTAATAAAGTATTGTTAAATATGGATTAAATATTGTTGTGAAGTAGATTTAACTAAATAAAATGCAATTAGATTTTAATAACTTTATTGTTTGAACATGGTTCTCACACCAAATCAACTAATACTAATTTCTAAAAGACTTACTCTTCTTTACAATTAATTATTATTAAGATTTAGTAAGAGTAGTAATTAGAAGCAGCCTGTATTATTTTGATTCCATAAAGGCTCCAAATATGAGAGCCAAACGCAGAAAAATCAACACTAACCAATCGTCATAACATCATTGATATGCAACAATTATGTTATTCACGCTTAGCCCTTTTATTGCATATTTGTTTATATAAAAAAATTGTATACATTGGGAGTCTTCGTGGAGTTCTCTTATACGTAGTAGAAATGCGTAGATATTTTGATGAAACTTGTTATTCTCAAATTCAGCTTACTTAAGCATTTTTTGAAAACACAAATACAGTAGACAAACAACAAAAATACAATTGTTTTAAAAATAGTCGATTGCCAATAAGAGTAGACGTGATGATCCGTGGCCAATATTGTTATTCAGCGACAATGATATGAATATTAAAATCAGGCCTTGGTCGTAAACAAGAATCGTAAATAGCTGAAGACGATATTTCGATGCGCATGAAGGCAAAGCTTTATTCCACACACCAAACACAAAAACAACAACCAGACACACACAAATATATTTTCGTAAAAGTGACCTAGGTCCATTTATATGTCACGGTCGAACTACTTCCTCAGTATGCCTTTAAATTCCACTGCTTAATTTGTGATTAATTTATTCACGTAAAATGTTTAAAACCACATGATTTACAATTCTGAACGGTTTTCTATTAATAAAATGAACGAGAAGAATTCGTCTTTGGAACGAACACTTTCTTTGCAGCGCTCTGATTTTATTGTTTTACATTATAGCCGCTCCTACATAATGCCTACTTAGATAGATACCTTTAACGCAATATTTATTTGTTTCTTAGATACTTGACCTACTCAATACCTAAGTGCCTGCATTTAATTATAAACACACTAGTAAACGTATTGTTACGTATGTGATAACTGCTGATTTTCTTTTATACACATATTTACTGTATATCTTTAAAATAAAAATATTTATTTTGCACATGCGAATTCAAATAAATAATAAATGGGAAAGTGCATTGACCTCGTACTTTCCAACTTATTTTCAATACAGGTACTTCCCGCATTTAAGAAGTAATTAATATCTTCTTTCCTCTTTGTTAATGACAATCTAATTCCTATTGTATCAATGTGTCTTCTGTTCCAACAAATATTAATAATATTAAGTACTTTACAGGATAAAACAATAATCAATAGTTAGATTTTTTGTGATTTAAAATTATAAAAGTTACACTTTGAATGTTTTCATAAACTCGATGTGAACATTTCTATGCGCTTTCGATATGTTGAAATGCTTCGTCAAGGCTTTTAAAAGTAGATGAAAGAACAGGATTTTCTTGTCCTTACATATCTTAAGATTTTTATTCAAAACTTATATTAGTATAGACATCAATTTTCAATCGCTTGAAAAGTATAATATTTTATGAATCTTCAAACTTTTAGTAGAATTGAAAATAAACTTATGACTAAGGAAACAAAAACATGGAATAATAAATAAAGTATATTTATTGATTATTAAATTAAAAACAAGCAAACTGTTAATTAAAGGCCTCAATACCATCAGTGTATCTACAACCAGCAAACTATATCTTATATAACACTACATAAGTTGTTGTTATTAAAATTCTTCAAACTTTAGAATAATTTGAAAAACAACGGCTTCACAAAAACTAAGAACAACTTGAAATTGTTTAAATATTTTATATTTTAGACTGAAATTTTGGAGAACAATGGAGCTTTTATATTATGTTTCTTAATTTTCCTAAGAAATCACATTATTTTTAACAAATAATGTCACTATATTTATACTATTTCGCATTAAGAATATGTACGCACATTAACGCACTTATACGTATGAAGAAGAAAAAAACAAACTGCAATGAATCGATTAGATATTATACTTACTACGTATAAAGATTGTTTTCAAAACAGAATTAAAATTTCAAAATAAACCGCAGCCATTTATTATTTAAATGAGAAACGTGTTGCACACTTGCAATAAATTACGACTATGACTAGAACATTCTGGTTCTTATACGTTTTTTATTTATACTCAGTTTAAATTGTGAAAAAATATATCATGTATAATATATTATTTCTAAAAGTATGTATAAAAATTTAAGACAAGTCATGAAAATTAATATTGTTTTCAATATTTCTATATTAATTTACTAAATACGATATTCTCTATAACTAAAATTATATAACTTATTAAAAAGAAGTAACAAAAGTTCTTTTTAGATAATTAAAATAAAACAAATATATTATTTTCTTAATATACAACAGTAATTGTGCTACACAACATTTGTAGTATCATCACATTTACTTCCGGGATATCACGAGACAGGAAACGATGCCGTCAAAATACTACTACGCACGAAGAACTTCCTACAGATCTTCACTTTTAAGGTCGTTCGTAAAAATAAATATGTTACGAAAAACAATTAAAAATCATTAACCCTATTAGATGCGTCTTTATTTTTATTTACATAATTTCCTTGAAATGTTATTGTCCCACATAATTTTATATTAATTTTTAATTATTTCTTTGATACATTGGATAATAATAGTTTTGACAAAACATTGTTAATATAAACTAAAGCATTATGAAACTGATTCACATTCGTAACGCATATTATTAGAAATGACAAAACAATTTGAAATATCTGTTCTAAATACTTATGTACATAGAAAATTCTAGATCAATGCGAGATTTTCTATAAAATTCAATATTGTCAATGTATTGATAGTATATGAATCTTTCGAAACACTATGTTTGTTATTGATTACACATGGAGTATGTTGACCTTCCGCGCCCTATCACCACAAAAATAAAACAATATTAGTTTTCTACAGAATCAAAGTAGTTGCTTTTGTTTGTTTTAGTGATATAATTGTTAAAATATTGTTTGTTTGTTAATGTTAATATCATTATCATCTTGAGGGAATTTGCATGGATGTTGCGGAATTGTGATTAGGTAAGTTGCTTGTTGTGTTTTTTTTTCAGATTCGCTTGGTGCCTGCTACTGGCTACTGGGATGTTATTGTTGGAAATCAGTCACACACACCCACGGGGATCAATGTAAAATCGCACGCGTTGCGCGGGGCTCGGCAGTGACGTTTCCATGCCCAGCCACGCTCTGTGACGTAAAGCATCACGGCCGCGACCGCCAATATCATCCGCTGTGCACGTGAACAACCTGCATGCGATCACGCGGTGACCGAATGTCTAGCTTTCTCGGATTGGAGCGTCGGGACGAGCCCCCACATCTGATTGGTCGGTTTATCTGGGCACCGACTACACACCCCATGCCACAGGAATAACATACAACGCTCCACAAATTTCACTCATTTCACTTCCAAGTGAGTTCCGTGACAGTTGGACACACGAATCGCGCAATAAAAGAATACAACAAAAACATGTACTGCAACGAAGTAGTTAACACCCAACCACTTTCGCCACCCTCTACACCGCCGCTGAAAAACGTAAGGATCACTTCCAAAAGTTTCTTTGCAGAAACTGATCATTTTTAAAGAATAATATTCCTAACTTTTGTTTACTTGCTATTTACAGATGATCAAAGACAACACTAGCATGTTGTTCTCCAGGAAGCGGCCAGCATCTCCGATGATGAATCTACCACCAACCCCTCAACCATCGGATTCAGAATGCGAGGAGTTCCCAGAACCCCTCACCAAGAAGATCTGCTTCGAAAGCGAACTTGCAAGACGCTTAACATCAAACACACCACCCCCAGAGCCACCAGCACGCACTGTCTCCGTGATAATGCGAGCGAACAAAGACGGCTCCTGCATCCCAGTCATCCCGCAACCCCAAAAAGAGGAGAACGTCTACAGAACCATGAAATTCAAAATGGACAAGACCAAACCAGTGACACCGGCCAAACCTATACCTGCTACCCCTAAGCTCCCAGAAACCCCACCGCCTGTACAAGTGCAGCCCATCACCCTTCAACCCATCGCTCCCAAACTGATCCCATCTCAAACGCACAGGACCATCTTCCTCGCTCAAGACGGTACCGTCATCGTCCTTACCCAAACACCCCCGGTGCAAGAACGCAAACGTATCTACGAATGCACGTTCCAAGGATGCGGCAAGAACTACTTCAAGTCTTCCCATCTGAAGGCTCACAATCGCACGCACACAGGAGAGCGGCCGTTCGTTTGCCCATGGGAATCGTGCGGTAGAAAGTTCTCCAGGTCCGATGAGCTGTCCAGGCATAAGAGAACGCATACCGGCGAGAAAAAGTTTAAATGCGAGGTGTGCGAGAGCTGCTTCATGAGGTCGGATCATCTAGCCAAGCACGTCAAGAGACACGCGAAAGACAAGAATACCAGCGTGAGCAAGGGGATTTCCCCGGTCCAGCTCAGACCTCTGCAGCCAGCGCCCGTCCTCAATTGAAAGCCCTAAATGACTGATACATTATACCCATCGAAATATTGTTACATTATCTCTATGTGTTTTAACATGTGTGCCTCATCTAGTTGTTAGCTAAAGAAAACAACAAAGCAATAATCGCACTAAAAGATGATACAAATATTAAGCTTTAACTATTATCAATAAGTAAACAAACCTTCTTATAAAATTATCTGTGATTTTATGTATTATTTATTATTTTTATAGTATGTATGTTATTTCTGTGTTCTTGTTTATAACAAGACTATAATAAAATATTTAATTTTTATATCTAAATTCAACAATCATTTCCGACACCTTCCAACATCAACGATTATTCATATTAACAATTATGCTCTGCATTTGTAATGATAATTCTGCATTTTATTGAAAACTGCAAACAATGATAAAAATTAATTACATTTTGTAAAATAATTAAATATTGCAACTATTCAAACAATAATCTAATGATTGATCCATTCAATTAGTATAAATGCTTGAAGTTGCTTAATTTTTGAAATATACACTAACAAAAGATCAACAAATAGATTTTACTTCTATTACATAAATAAGCTGTTATAAATTGTATCACATACTAGTTTAAAAGTGAGGACTTGTCGTTAATTATACTTACTGTAAATATTTGAAAACAGTAAAAATAGTAATAGAGCAAAAATTTAACAATGCATACTGTTATTGAATGCATGTTGTCGTAAAAGGTGTTATCGTTCATTCAATGAATCATATCTTTGCAATATCCAACGCCACTCAACATACAATCACACAATTATGCACATATAAAATTCAACCAATTAATACATAATTAATTACACTGACGTTGGTAGCAAATTGCGTCAAAATTATTAGATGCAGATTTCTCAAAATTGATTAAAACTTATCAATTCCTTGGCCAAAACCAAAAATCCGTCATTATAGCTAAACATAATTAAGAAATAACTAATCGTGATACAAGTACGTACAGAACGACAAAATTAAATGAAATACCTTTCATAATCACTGTACATAATAATGTACACAACCCAAGGACATATACAAGATGCTTTAAATCATGAATTTAAATATTGCTTTCGTCATTGCGAAAAATGCAATATAGAATCAGAGGAAATCGTGACTGTTAATTTGCTTCCTGGAAAATTTCGAAGGTAAAACAAACGACGTTATGTGTCTGTAACGCGGAAATATGGATATGTTCTGGGATAATTGAGTATTTGGACCACAGTTAGATATTTTTTTTGTTGGGTCTTCTGCGTGTAAAAATAGAAGCACACTGCGAGGTGCAAATGGGTTTAGCGGACATAGCTATTGCAAATTGTATAAATAGCAACAACCGCTCGCTCTGACGTCACTGTTTCACGCTGGATACACGTGAATAAATTGTAGTTTAGGTCAGTTGCTCGTTGCTCAGTGGATTATATAAAAAAGGGATTCGGATATAGATTAAAATATTTCGTTCGTGCAGTAATTCCTATTTTTATATTTGTTATTGATACCGTTCAATTTTTCACAATTGTTGACGAAATTGGAATATTACATTGTCTGAACGCATCAAGGAGAATAAAATTAATATTATAATTAAGTATTATTCATTAATTGCATTAAACTTAATACAAATCAATATAGAATAAAGATAAAAAAATTGAGAAAAAAAACAATAATAAACAATTTCGTTTGTTTACGCTGCAACAAACAATAAGAAGCAAATATATATTTCTTAAATAAATGAGAATAAAAGTGTAGATTTGATGTATGAATTAAGGAAAGTAATGTTTAGTACATGTATAGAGTGTAGTAAAAGTGCTTACAATTTCGAAATGTCATTGATGAGAAAGAATGTTTCCTGGACAAGATGGTATCAAGTGAGACAAAAAAAAAATATGATTGTACAATGGAGATGGATAGATTGTAGAAACCGTCTAAAATTAAGTCTAGTGAGCACAAAAGCCTCGAATTGCACGCAGCCGAAACGTGAATGCATGACCGAGTTTAAAGTTCATTCTCGACGCGAATATAGGTAACAGCTACTGCACGTACCGTGTTTACACACATTATTTATAAACATAAGCCTATATTAAAGAGCAAATATTTATTATTCGATAGGACCTCTGACTTTATTTTTATGCAATTCTTCAATTGTATAAGAGAAAAATACGTTTTTAAAATTAATTTAAAAACAATATTGGTGATCCAATATCTGGAAATATAAAAAGTAATTAGAAAATACTATAGTGTTATTATTTAGATTTTATTATAAATATTACATAAAAATTATGCATGCAAAGGGCTATTGACCCTTAAATTATTTTTTATTTTATTTTAATATTTTTTTTTACAAATTGTTACTTTTTATATAATTCTCATAAAATTAGGAGATAAAAATACTCCTGTTACAGTTTGAGAATTTATATTTGGAATGTTGGTTCTGTTCTCAAGGTTGGATGATTAGTAGCAACATTTCTGTGCCAAAAAAGACAATTGTTCGAGTATAAAGATCAACTTAGTATTGGATTATTGTATAAGAAACATTTAAACTAATAAAAACGTAAAAACAAAACAAAAATATCAGCTTTTAAAATAATAGTCAATAATTATTATAATTAAGAAAATGCCAATGTTGGAAATAAGAACGTGTCGTTTACTAACGACGAAACATTAGACTTAGCCCTTGAAACGGAATTACTAAAATTTTATAAATTACTCTACTTTGCATTCGAACTTTCAACTCGGATACGACCACCACGTTACAGCCGCGTGAGATCCGTTCAAAAAAATTAAGAATTATTCCGTTTATCTAGTTTTCCGACAAAACGAAATCAAAATAAACATTACACTATTTGGATTTTTTTCCTGATAGTACACGATACCTACTATTTATAAAGAATAAAACATACATAAGAAATTTTTAGATTTTAAAGTTCTCATATGCAGATTAGAAACCGTGCTGTTGATACATTTCCTTTCAAGGGAACTTCTTCTATCGGAACGAAAATAATTTGTTTATTATCGTCAGTTTCTTTTTATCGTTTTAATTAATCGTGCATTAAGACACTGTTTCGATGCGTGATCCTCTCTTATTTACATCTTGTTCTAGATTTTTAACTTCGAAAATTCCAGACTCGTACGTATCCGTTGATTAGAGTCGATTTAACAATAACTTATGCCCACGATTGCGTCAATCTTATTATTGAACAGTGCGATTGACATGAAACAGGTTATCAAATGCAATTAGTTCCGTGTAATTATTGCACAAGCCATGTATACAAAACTTTTGGAGGTAATGCATAATAATTAATAGTTTTTGTTGATAATTAAGTTTTATATAACGAAAAGATATCATAGCAATTCAGGTAAAACTTTAAAAGAAACTTATAATTCACAAAATATTGATTTAACAAAAAATAGTTACAATTTTTCAATCTATTTTCTATAAATTTCTAGCGAATATCATTATGTAATTCAAATAAAACTTATGTAATGTTCTAATTTTGTTAGACAAAAAAATTTCATATATTAAAGTTCATAAATAAATAGAGTAAAAGTAATCTAAAAATGCACTTAATGCTTTAGATATGTGTAAGTTGTGTGATGGAAAATTTTGTTCAATAGATAAATCTATATATCAGCAACTAACGTCATCCACATAGTATATAAGAAAAAAGCAAAGTTCTGGAATTAGCAAATGCGTTATAACCAGATTAAGTGTTTATCATTTTTGAATGTATTTAAAAAAATAACATTAAATAAATAAACATAAGTGCAATATAACTAATTGCTTTTACTGAGTGGAATGCACGTAAAAATATTATACTTACAAGTATTTCTGGCACACATATGCAATAAATTTGTGAAATAGTTCAATGTAATCATAGGACGATTGTAATCAAAACAATAGATGAAAGTTTCAAAATTTGCTTGTATTATCACACCAGAGAGTGTATGTATGAGCCTCGTGTCACGTAAATCGTTTACGACTCTGTAACCATTTGATAAACCTTGTTTGTTGAAAACAAGTCCGTTGCAGCTTTTCCCCAAAAAAGTCCATTTAATAAGTTTTTAACCTTGTACAGCAGGTCACGTGGAAAAATGGATTGCGAAACGGATGGATCGCTTATTATTTTTTGAGATGAAGGCGTTTCATAGATATGTTTCATTCTAACGAGGACACATGTTCCGTCTGCCTTATGCAAATCCTTACATTTTTCTAAAGATAATGTTCTACATTCGCTTATATTTGTTCTATTTATATGATCACAATTTAATCAGAAGTTAAAAATAACTTTATTTACATTTTCGTCTCAATCAACAATTTTCTCTCGATAAATTTTCAGAGATTTGATGTTTTTCTTAATCACATTTATTTAATTACATCGTTAGTATCTATAATTTAGGAAAGAACAATTTACAACAACTTTTAATTATTTTTATTTCAAGGAAAAATCACAATAAGCACAAACATATTACTGTAATAGCAAACATTTGAATATTTACTATAAGAAAATATATAGTATAAACATATTTATGAAGAGCATTTTCTGAAATGTATTAATAATTTAAATATTAAAACAAATAAAATGGTGTAAGAATAAATAGTACTTTATTTATTGAAAATTGTTACATTTAAAAAATATAAAATATTTAGGCAACCAACATCACAAAGATAATAATATCAAACAATTTTTTTTCAATTAATAATCTGAACAATATTTAATAAAAACAAGATTGTGTGCTTCCTCATTAATTACACTGATTTGAGTAGATAAACTGACAATTATCTAGAAATCACCGGTTTTCGGCACATATATTTTAAAACTGAAAATAAAAACGTCGAAAGTCACAATTCTAGTGTATTTTGTTTATTTTCGTCGAATATTCTAAACTACCTTTAAAGCAACAACATTAGACTAGTTAAATAGATATAAAAAAAATAAATGTTTCCTCGTCGATGCTGCGGAAGATCTACAAGTGCTGAAGTCATAAAACCCTTATTGCAATCGTCGGCATCCGTAGTAAAGCTTCACTGATCATTATTTCTAGCATCCATAAGAAATATAAAAGCAACTTGAATTAAAACTGTGATTTTATTAAAATTTAGTGATCGACAACTAGCCATCTTTCAGAAAGCTGTTGGACTTCTTTGCTAATCAGAGGATCGCGCACTCTGATTCGCACTTCCAATTTCCCGCCGACCTTTTTCCTTCCATCCATTAACTACAATATAAAGCGTGCACTGTAATGAATACGTAACAACGTAGAGTATATAACTTACATCGAAACTTTCGTGGATTTCACATTGAGTTTCCAACGGTTGTAACTTAACTGTTGCAGTTCCCAGCAGGCTATCGCTCCTGAAGAAACCCCTGCAACAACAACCCCAGTCGCTAGCAAAACAGCTAGCACACCCAATCCATGGAAATTATGCAACGTAGTTGAAACAAACATAAACCGAACCAGACAAGTTACTCACAACTTATACAACGAATCCCAACGACAAAACACATATAAATGAAAATTCAATTTATTGCACTTTGTAATTATATTAGGACAAAGCAAAAGTAAAATAGAATATTCAGTTATTAGTCGCGTGTAATGTAAGGCAATTTCAAGCAAGAATTGGGTGTGCTCTTTCACAAATGTAAAATAATATACATCATATAAAGAAACATATTTGAGTAAAAGCAATAGATCAATGCAAAGCCGTAATTCTATAATGACAAATATATTGTAAAAACGATATTTACGTTTCAAATTTGTTTACCTTTCAATAACAAAAATGATATTTTATTGATACTAATATCACTAAAAATAAGATTATAATTAGAAGTTTTATTACTATTTTCTTGTTTTAGAAAAATCTATTTTTAAAAATGTGATTGATTGTGTAGACCTAATTTATTACGAACTACATGTGCGAAGAGCATAGTAAGAATTAAGACTACTATCAGATAGCAAAAATATTATGTTTCATAGACTCACCCTTTGGAGAACACTTCTAATTTAACAGCATGTCTTTTAAAGACTCTCAAACAAGGCCTGGAAGTGCGCTGAATAGGAATTATGAAATCGGCATTATATGCGGGATTATTGGTGTCTTTAATGGTTGATGTTTTATCTCTGTAAGGTTCTTCCTATAAACAGTTTTTTTTTTATTAATTTAATTTTAATGTAATAAGCATGCTTTACCTGTGGATATGGGAATTCAAATTTAACGTATGTATCTATATCCTTTGGATTTGCGCAATTGTAGTTTATACCACTAATAATGCTCAATTGCAAATCATTGTCATTTAGATCTGTGAAGCTTTTAACAATTGAAAAGTTACGAGATTCGTGATGAAACTTTGGTATGGCTGCACCGTTCGTTCTTTTTGCAATTCTAACTAAATCCAAGTCCTTCGTTACGCTCAAAGCTAACCGTTCGAAACGATTTGTTCCAGCTACATCGCCTAATGCTTTATGATGATCTCTAGTGGTTAAACACATTTTCAATTGTTTTGTTAACTGCGCTTCCAACCTGCTGATCACATCCATTACTCCGGCATCATCTTCGACACACTCATCGGCCATTACTAATTCATATTCCAAATCCAACTGTGATTTTGCTGATGGAGGAATCGGCAAGGATGAAATATCCACCGGTAAACCGCCCTGTGCAGCTTCAATTAAAGGATCTATCCTCTTCGCGTTTCTTAAATACTCTTTTGCTTGGTTTATTTCGCCTTTCTTCTTAGCATTAAGTGCAGCTTCTTTGAACTCCCTCTGTCTGTCTTTTAATAAAATTATCTGCTTCTCCATTCTTGTTGTTGGTATGTGGTTACCAGAAGTTCTTGCAGGTACTGCAGGTTTTGTACTTGGAGAATCTCTTGGTGGAGGAGTGGGTGCGACAGGTTTGGAAACTTCTGGTGCTGGTGGTTTTTCCGCACCAGGAACTGGTATAGGCGCATATCCAGGTGGAGTTGGTAATTCGTCTACCGGAATGGGTTTACCTTGGTTGTTTAATTTTATAGCATTTTCATATTGCTTTACGATGCGACCCATTCGCCTTGCCTTGCTAGAATTACCCTGCTCCTTGGCAGCTTGTTCTTGTTCTTTGTAAATATCCAAACGTTGCTGTAAAGCTTCACCAACTGAACTTGCAGGTATTAATTGAACTTCCTGTTCTTCAATAGCCTTTACATCAATGGGTTCTTCAGTGTTCTGGGTTTGTACCTGAATTTCTTCTTTGGGTCTGGTTTCATCAACAGGAGGTCCTGGCATGTTGCTTAAATCTACAGTTTCGCCATTCTCAATAGCCTTTATTATAAAATCAAACTGTTTAATTATTTTCACATATGTCAAAGCAGTGGGAACATTGCCAGACTTCTTAGCTCTTAGAGCTGCATTTTTATATTCATCTTTTCTTTCATTCAACAAGGCAATCTTACTTCTGCTATCATCTGTCATTTCAACAGTTTTAATATCCTCCTCTACTGGTGACTCTACTGCACTTGGAGGCAAAGGAGCAGGCCTTGTTGGTTCCACAGGTGGTTCTCGTTTTTGCGTATTAACAGTCACCTCTGGTGGAATATCATCCTTGTTGATAGGTTTACCTGAATTCGTCGTTTTTATAAGATCTTTAATTGTGGAAATCCCACGACCAAAACGTTTTGCACGCGATGATTCACCAGCCTCTTTTGCATTGGATTGTGCTAACTCATACATTTTCAACCTTTCTTGTAACAGATTCAACATTTCATTTGGTACATCATTGTTGGTGGGACTTGATTCTTGTGGGATTTCTTCCACAAATTCATCATCTAATACAATTTATGAAATAATGTTTCATTCTGAAATTTAAGAAAATACTTACTTGTAATTTCACTTAATTCATTAAGTAAATCAGGATCATCATCATCTCCTGACAGCTCTTCATCACTTGGGATATCTTTTAAACTCTCTTTGACCATTGAATCTAAATTCACTGTTGGTTTTGGTTTCCTTCTTGCTGGCCTTGATGGATTTGAACCACTAGTTATAGCCAATAATTCAGCTTCCAAATCACTATCACCACCACTTCCGGACCCATCATCGCCGTCATTTAAAGATAAATCGGTAGGGATATCAAATAAACCATACTAACAAAATATGTTATTATTAGTTTATGTTATCATATTTTATCTTTACGATATTTACCTGAGACAAGTTTCCATCACGACTTCTTTTCGGACGTTCAGTTTTTTTCTTCGAATACATATTTACTCAAATTGCGAATTATTATTTATGTTAACACAGATAACTTCAATTATTTATTAGTCATAACCAGTAATAACAAACACAACTGACAGCTAGTGTCAAGATCTGTCACATTTGAAATAAGAATACCAACTGCAAATGTATTGTGGAAATCCAATACATTCTTTATTATAATGCTTAAATGCGTATACAAATAATATTAGAGCTGTAATGTATTTATAAATACTTTCCTATATTTCTGATAAAAATACTTATACATACTTCCACGAACTATAGAACAGTTGATCCAAGTTGATGGTTGCTTGGCGACATCCTTTGTTTTTAAATCACAGCAAATTTCAAAAGTCCATCACATCCAAAATTTTTATTACAAGATGAGTATCATGATGTATATTCTTCATCGAGTTATTAGACACAGCCCTTACGCCTCAAAACCATGGACAGGTATTTAATATAATCAGGTGTATGCAGAACATAACCTAAAATATGAGATATTTTAAAGAAATTGTGCAGCGCGCTTCTTCATCCTCCGATAAACCCTTGTCGCCTAGAATGGAAGAATTCCAAAAGAAATTACGCGAGAAAACTCCCATTGGCAAATTAGAGGAGTTGGAAGGCGCTCACCCATACCAAGAAAAAGAACCTTTGGAGCCGTTTCCAGATCAAATAAATCCTGCAACTGGTGAAGTTGGTGGTCCTAAAGGTCCAGAACCAACGAGATATGGTGATTGGGAACGCAAGGGTAGAGTTACAGATTTTTAATCATTTGTTATATGTTGTAGTAAGTTGTTAAGTTATAAAGATAATTTTACTGTTATAGGCAAGAAAAGGTATAAACTTTAACTTTTATAAAGAATGTAAAGACTGCAGATAATACTAATTATTTATAATTGTGTTGGATATCCATTCAGAGAAGCAAGTGACCTAAAATATATATGATTACTCATGAATAAGGAATAAAATTTAAAGAAAAGTACTTTTGTGTATATTCCTGGATAATTTGGTCTTCCACATCCAATACCCCAGCTTACAATACCACATAGATAATAACGATCATTGTCTTTGTTGCATATCAATGGACCTCCCGAATCTCCCTAAAATAATTTAAGTATTATTTTTATCCCTCTGATACAAGAAGTAATTTTACTTGGCAAGCATCTTTTCTTCCATTTAAAAATCCCGCGCACATTTGACAGTCATTCAAATATCCTGAGAATCCCACCCGTTTGTATTGATAATCGCACACCGTTTTGTTGATTATTGGTAAACTAACATGATTTAAACGGGGAGTAGCCCTTTCGTTTTCATCCCACCGACCCCAACCGGCCACAACTCCATTACCTTTAACACATATTATATAATTCAATTCAATAGCATCTACTTAAATTACCATAGAAAACATCATCTGGAAGCGGTAAACAAATTGGTTCAATTCGCTTCTCAACTAATTTTAAAGGCTTTTGTAATTTAATTAAACTGATGTCATTTTGAAAATTTGTTAAATCGAAATTTTTAGTGAATATTTTATATGCCTGTCGTCTTTGCTCAAATCCTGAAAGTACAAATATAAATTGATTATGAAAGAACAAAATGTTTTACATACCTTCTTGTATATACAAATTATAATCACCAGCAACTATTGATATTTCCGATGGATTCAAATCAAAAACACAATGAGCCGCAGATATTATCCATAGCGCATTTATAATCGCTCCTCCGCAAATGTGTTTGGACATATTTCTCACTCGAATTTGCAAAGAAACGATCCATGGAAACTCTCCTAAAATGAGCGATGTCCTCATCAACATTCTGTGAATAGCATAAATTACCTGGTTCCGAAATCTGTCCTCCAACAATTCTGTTGAAATAGTAGCCTCCTCTTAAACCACATTTCGAGGGGAATACTTCAACTTCATGTGATGTGTAGTTATCATTAACGTCTTCCAGAATAGGATTATGTATTATGAATAGATCGTTAGATAATGCAATTGCTTAAAATAACTTATTTTTATTCACTGTTTACTCGTGCAACTTAATATTAAACTTACTATTATTAATTATAGAAAATAATATCATGAGCACTAACAACATCTTGCTCGAAAAGACGACCACGGAATGTAGTAAAACGACATAATAAACTCGAATTGAATCTGAGGTAAAACCCAAGTTGAATAACCTACTAGTTAGTTCTGTAGAAAATATATTTAGTATATAATATAATAGAAATTAAAGCCTATGTAAGTAAATACATAACTATTTACATAAAAATACTGATTGATAAGTAAAAATAAAACAGTACACTCTTAATAATAGATATGTTGTCTCTAAAAAGATAACTTTGCATAATAAAATTATGATGCACGTACATCTTAACAATTTTAAGTTATTAAATGCAATCCAGGCTACCAGAAGCTCCATCGCAATTAGTTCAAAAATGGAGATTATAATTGTCCTCTGTGATAAGGATCATAGTTGGTTAAGTATTTGTCAGTTAAAATCCTGGAATTTTCAACAGTCACAGCCAAATGTCTGGAGTCATTAGTATTGACCATCAACCTGGTATTATCATTTACATTTGTTATTAATCGAGTGTTATCGTTCGTTAATAATCTATTGTCGTTAGTAATTAATCTGGAATCGTTTACTAAAAGTCTCTGGGGTTCTGTGACGTTCACCAATAATCTCGTGCTGTCGTTCATCAACATATTTCTATTATCATTTATAAACTTAGTATTATCATTTATCTTGTACTCATTTAAACGGTTATCCGTAACCGCAAGTAAATGTGAATTATCATTGAGCAATCTTGTGCCGTCATTCAATATTCTAGAACCATCAGTTGATATCATTCTAGTTGTGTCCTGCTGCATCATCCTTGGTGGCTCCGCCTGCATTTGCATCCTATTATCAGTTTGCAACAGTCTATTATTCTGATCAGTCTGTGTATGATATTTATTGGCATCTTGGGGTTGATGGAATTTGGGTAATCCTTGTGGTTGCTGCTGTTGCTGTTGTTGTTGCTGCTGCTGCTGTTGTTGTTGCTGCTGCTGCTGTTGTGGAGGTTCAACGATTCGGTATCCACTATTAGGAGCGTGTACCTAAATTTGATTATAACCAATAATTAATCAATCATTTAATGAAAACAATATTTACCTTCATATGCGTGTTTAAAGTACTTGATTGTGAAAATGCCTTTCCGCATGTTACACAGACATAAGGTCTTTCACCGGAGTGAACGCGCATATGTCTTAGTAAAATGGTATTGACAGTAAAACCTCTTCCGCATACTGTACAAACGTAAGGTCGTTCTCCGGTGTGGTTTCTCATATGATACTTGAGCTTCATAACAGTTGTAAACCTTTTCTGGCAGACGCTGCATTCGATTGGTTTTTCTGTACCATGAAGTCGTTTGTGACTCGTAAGATCACCGGATTGTCTAAACGCTTTTCCGCAGAAATTACAAATAAAAGGTCTCTCATTAGTGTGCGTTCGCATGTGAATCTTCAAACTGGCTTTGGAAACGTAACCGTTCTTACAAACTTCGCAAGTGAATGGTCGTTCGCCTAACGAAAAATAAACGATTATTTTCATATTATTCCTGATCAATATATAATACATCTACCTGTGTGAGTTCTAAGATGAAGTTCCAAATTAAATCTTTGCGGGAAACATTTACCACACATATTGCATAGGAATGGACGGTCTCCTGTATGCTGTTTTATATGGACAGCTAGGGTCGGTGCATCTGGGAATTCGCTCTTGCAGTAATCACAGATGTGCTTCAACAAGGCCGGATCGCCTTCTTTCTTCTCATGAATCTTCATATGTTTGAGTAGACTGTTCTCGGCGTAGCATCCCTTATTGCAAATCTTACAAACGAACGGTTTCTCTCCAGTATGCTTGAGCATGTGTTTAGTTAGTAATGTCGTGTGTATGAATCTCTTCTCGCATATTTTGCACACATGAGGCTTTTGCTCCTCCGGTATATGCGTTCTCATATGATTATTTAAGTAGTTCTCTTCGGTGAATCCCCGCGGACACAGCTTACATTTATACGGTCTATCTTCTATGTGTGTGCGCAAATGCTTCCTAAACGACTTCATATTGATGAATTGCTTTTTACATACGTTACACTGATTCGTATTACGTTTCAATTTTTTGGGACTCACTTTCGAGCCAGCCTTGGCGAGTAATTTCTTCTTGTTCGATTTACTTTTGTGCGACTTTGCGGATTTCAGAAGTTGCCTTTGAGCAATCGCCTTCTCGTCATTCGGATCCAAAGTCTTAGATTCTAGTATAGATTCGAACTCCGATTTAATATCATCGTCGTCATCACTATCATTCGATGAATAATCCAATCCGAAGTTATCTAAGTATACACTACTGTCATAGCTCCGCGAGGTTTCTTCCTCTTGTTTGCAAGGTTTCGGGTTCAGGGGTTTGCCCAAATATTGTCGCAGATTGGCGTCTGACTGTTCGCAGAGCTGTTTGAATTGGAAGCATTGATTCGCTTGATGTACGCATTGTATACATAATAATGTTGGAAGCCCATCGCTATTATCGATCTAAAATTGGAGAAAAAAAAACTATTTTATTAAAGTATGACTTTTGTTGTCAAGCAATAACTATAGGAGTCATAGGTCAAAATGCGACAAACGGAGATATGAATATTTTATAATTGTCTTTTTGTTTTATGTACATAATTCAAATGTACGATAACTACTGACTTGTGTTTAAATGTTTTTCTTGCTTTTCGTTAATGATATTTACTTCAGTATTATGAATACAAATTTATATAACTATATTTCTTTAATTACAAATATTTCTGGAACTATACTTGGAAAAGTATAACTTAGATAATATTTTGTAATAAAGTCCATGCGTCCAATCAATAAATACTGAAAAATCGCAAGATATAATATCAAGACTCGAACACTTGTCTGGCGCATGCCGGAAGAACATGAAAGCTCATATCTATCGATTTTGATATGATGATTTATGAATCATATAACTTAATAATTGCAATAATAATATAGTTACGAATACAGTTGCTGTTTCCATTATTCTGAAAGAAGCGACTTGCTTCTTTATACATCAATAATATACTGTTTATTGACTGCATGTTATGCTTTTACTGTTTACTTATTTTATTGACTAAATAATTATATGTATGAATTGTAAATATTTGAAATAAAATTGAAAAATAAATATTGTTTCAATAAAAACCTAATACGAAAAATCTTTAATATTGACATTCAGAATAGACGAATTAATTATCTTACATAGTTTGTGAACTTTATATTTGTTTGTAAGTATTAAAAATCGTCATTCCTAAATACTAATAAAAATTGCATTGTAGTATTATAATGTTTAAATATTAAGGTAATTAATTAACTTAAATAATTAGCATTTGGTAATATTTAACTTTTTAGTAGTAGTATTCTAATACAAGACTATAGTTTTAAAAGTTGTTTGTTTTATAATTTTAGAAAATTAATAAATTAATTAAAAATAAATAGAAAATAATAAAAACAGTTCTTTTATAATTAAATCTGAAAGACAATTTAAGGGAAACAATTAAAATACAATTGTACAATTAAAATATAACCTGTAAATTAGTAAAACTCATTATAATTTCGGCGAATCTCATTGTTTGTCCGAGGCTTTCATCGACGATGAAGACCGATCGCATGTCCTCCTTTTCAGTCAAACATGCTCTGCATAGTTTACTGACGTCCACCTGATTTTGGTCACTTTTCACTTCCATTACTGCAGAATACTATTCGTACACACAACAACAACAACAACAAGAGATGGACAAACGCGCAATGCAAATGGCGGACTTGGACTCTTCCACTGGTCGATTGTGACAAAGGCTGTATGTCGCGTTGCCAGATTTACAGGCTAAGCTTCCCGGCAAGCATTCACCCAATCACCACGACTTACTAACACCGCAATTACTCTTGATGAATAACAATTGAGTTTCATGAGTAATTACTCAATATACTCTTTATAAGATTAGTTTCGTACGCTCAAAAGTTCTTCAACTTTAAAATGATTTAAACAAAGTTGCTCTCTTTGTAAACTAGAACCGGTTTTGTTCTATACCTGCAAACTTATATTTTATACCACAATTCTTTACAACTCAATTTATATACATCAATATATTATTTTATTGCAAATTCAATTAAATTTCATAGAATAAAAGAATGATTGTATTTCGGATATATTGAATATTAGTAGTAGAAAAGAACGGAAGAACATACAAATAAAACAAATCGCATTTCATTTTTTGTATAAGGCATACATATTTATTATATAATTCACAGTTACAATCATTTTTAATTGCATTATTAAATAATGGAATACAAGATTATCAAAAAATCACGTAATTTATAATTAATTAAAGTAAATCCAGTCGCGTTAAATGTTGCAGTTACGTCAACGTTTGTACCTGCACCGTGTGTATAGTCTCTCCAGTCCTGAAAGGAAAAAATGTTATAATTTGATATTTTTTTAAATCGTTAATTCCTTACAGCAATTCTGCAATTTGAACTGTCTCTACTTTGCTCAGCGTTTCTTTTTCTAGGAGCGAATGTGAATTCATATGGATCTCTAAACTGAAAGCTTTGTCGTACGCCTTTCCGCATATTCTACATTCGAACCTTTCTTCGTAATGTCCTTCGTGCGATTTCAGGTGAATTTTTATATTGTCGCCATCGAAGCTGAATAGGGAATAGATTATTATGATTTTTTCTTTAATTATTTTTTTGTAAAATTACCTTTGATCACAGGTGAAACAGTCATATTTATCATTGTGGGATTTCAGATGCATGTTGAGGAAATTTTCGTCTGTAAATCTATTAACAACATATTAATATGATTTTATATATAATCAATAATTTACTACCTTTTCAGACATTTGTAACACTCGTATTCTTCAATGTGCTGTTGGTCGTGATCTTTCAATTCGTATTCTTCGGTTTGCGTCTTATCGATTTCCTGCGAATGCGATTTCAATTCCGTGGTAATTTCGTATTCTTCGCAATGTGATTTCATGTGCACTTTCAGAGCGTTGGATCCATTGAACCTAAATAATGTTTATCTTTAAGTAATTTACCACATTGATTTCTCTTTTTCAGTTACCGTTTACCGCAGGTTAAGCATTCATGCGTTTCCGAATGGGTTTTCAGATGGACTTTCAAACTACCCGAACCTGCGAATCTGATTACGGAATAATCGATATTATTACTGCTATAAATGTATGTTTATGATGCGCTTACCGTTTTCCGCATTTCATGCACTCGTGCGGCTTTTCACCGGTATGAGTCCTCATGTGGCCGGAGAGATGACCGGACGAAGTGAAGGCTTTGCTGCAAATACTGCAAACGTGCGGTTTATCCCCTGTATGAGACCGCGTATGGATGACCAACGTTTCGTGTCTGCTGAAGCTCTTCCCGCAAATATTGCAAGTATAAGGTTTTTCACCGGTGTGTATTCTTTGATGAATTGCCAAAGTATTTGAACCAGCAAATGCTTTTCCGCAAGTCGAACATTGGTACGGCCTCTCGCCTGTATGCCGTCTCATATGGATGCCGACATAACCGGATTGCGTAAAGCTGCAAGAAATAATGTAAAAAGTAGTTGAAGAGATGGATTGAAGTGTATTTACCCTTTTCCACAAACGGGACACAAGTACGGCTTTTCACCTGTATGCACTCTAATGTGTTTCTCCAAGTTACAGATTTGCGTAAAGCTCTTTTGACATATCTTGCACACGTGAGGTCTTTCTCCCGTGTGTGATCTAATGTGTATCTTTAAACTTCTAGCCTAAAACAAAAATTTGCTATTATCTCATACACAGATAACATAAATTAATATTACTTCAACGTATTGCTTATTACAGTATTCGCAGGATAATAATTTATGTCCTGTGTGGTATTTCATGTGTTTGGACAAACTCGACGCCCACTTGAATGCTCGACCACAAACCGAACAAAGATGAGGTTTACCCTTAATGTTTCTCAACTCGCCAGTATGCTTCTTCTTGTGCTTACTCAAATTAGAACTCTCCGCAAAGGACATGTCACATTGATCGCATTGATGCGGCTTCTTCTCCAAGTGGATTTTCGAATGCCTTTTAAGTATCCGAGCTTCTGGAAACGCTTTATTGCACACCGGACATACATAGTTCAATTCCTTGGGATGACTAAGCATGTGTACTTTTAAATCTACTTTCAAATTGAACGATTCATCGCATTTAGAACATTGATACTTTTGTTTACCAACAAAATCTAATTTAATCTCTTTATCATCCAACTCTGAAGTCTCTGTATGTTTGACAATTAATTCTTCTCCTATTGACTCCACAATATTATCTATACTATAATATTCCGTTTTGTCCTATAACATTTTGATTTTAATATGCTTCATAAGTATTTAATAATATAAAGTTATAATACCTCTAAACATACTTCCTCCACATAATTAACATTAACAAATTCACTTGGTAATTCCTCTTTAATAACAACATGATCAATCTCTTCAGAATATTCAAGCTGATGCTCAAGCTCATCCTTGTCTTGTAATGCAAGAGATTGCGCAAGTTGCTCCTAATTAAATAATAAAATATTTAATAAAATAGTAATTTCAATCAAAATTAATAATACCTGAAATTCTGGGCTATTATAGCTCCTTAAAATAGCTTCAGACTTTTCACATTGCTGTTTGAAAGCATAAGCTCTGCTACATACTTGAACACATTGAATGCATAGCTGATTTGGTAGTCCATCTCCTTCATGCACCTAGAAATAATTAAACTGAATTTATGATATGAAAGTGATCTTTATAAATGGGCAATTGAAATATTTTTGAAAATATTTAACAATTTGAAAAGTAACAAAATTTGTAATGAATTTGATGTTAAATGAAAATGGCAACATTGGATCAACCGTTTGTGGACATAATTCGCAACTTAAGCATGATTTAATACAAGTAAACCTACGTTGAATCTATCTTTGTTGGATGGATTGTTGGGTCATTGGATTGAGGGAGATGAAGAGAATCGAATACGCCCATTAGCGCTACAGTACCTGAATGGCAGCGAAAGACAATAGCATATCGTCTAAGCAGGCCCCGAAAAGGGGTGTCATTTTGTCTTTTTCTGTTAAACAAGCCCGACATATCTTGTCTATTTGCAATGGGGCCGAAAGGTAAACACTCAAATCCATCGAATCTCCGCTCGTTTGATTTCCCAAATATAAAACACAAACGTCCCGCAACGTACGTCTATCCTAGCACAAACAACAAACGATACAAAATGGCGGACGAAACATGCAACGACGGAAGTCCAATAAAAATAGCTCGGGTTGAAACAGGAACGAATACGCAGACGTACGCGCTGAACGTCTGTGACCTCTTCAATTATTGATTTTCCCGCCAAAATTACAACGCATCTGACTCAACGAAAAAACAATATGTTAGATAACTTGTTTTAAATAATTATTGATTGACTAACTGAAAACGTGAAATAAGCTTCCTTTGTTATTTAATTATGATGTTGTTTTAGAAAAGTTTTGACAATTTTTAAAATTTCGTTTTACTCTGATGGGAACACTGCATATTTTTAATATTTTTCAAATATCAAAATAGTTTTTAGGATATTGCAAATACAAATATAAGTTCAAATAAAATTCTTTTTTTCCTATAAATGATTAAAATTGTAAATTATGTAAATATTGGTAATATATAAATTTTCTATAATAACGTCTATTGCAACTATCATGTAAAATGAACGTTATAGTTACGTTACGGTCCATGTCTTTTCCCGCTATATATTTTATTATATTTTTTGTAAATAATGCAATACAAAGAAAACATAAAATTATTGATTTTTGATATATAAAAGAAATTGTTTAGCTAATGCAGGACACTAGGAAAATGGAAACAATTTACTAATGTAATTAATCTTAACTTTGATCACAATAGTAATAATTAAAATAACTCATGGTTAATAAGACTTAACTTAATATATATATTTAATAAAGTACTACTACTACTAAAACGTGTAAAGACTATACACTTGAATAAATAATCAATAATTATTTTAACGGGTAGTGAAAACAGATTATTTATTCGCCAATATATTTATAATACAGTTATTGAATCTCTTCTGAAAGAGAAATGTGTTACCCATTTTATTGAATTATTAATTTCTATGCTCGGAGAGCGTTTGCGCAACCTAGGTTAACATAAAAACTATTATGCAATTTAAAATGGCGGATTTGCGAGTTTACACTGTACAAATTACGGACTAACACTATACTGATTTATTTTCACATTAATTAAAGTGTGATTAATTTTATCATTTTACTAATTTATACATAATATAATAATAATTTTATGAAATATAATAAGCTTCTTTGCTGTTTGTTGAATTCAATTGTTTTAGTTATTTTAAGTTTATAAGGTTGTCCATACTTGTGTGCTTAATTACTTACTTTTTTACTTTATCCTATTGGCAACCATGATATGTTTAATATATAATATGCCTTTACATGCTAAGATCATTAAATATCAGACATTGGTATGGTAAATATGGATATGGGATGTTTCTTTAAGTCTAGTTCAAGTGAATTATTTACAGATACTGCATTAATTTGTAGAGAATATATTCAAATAATTACTTAGAATGTATATGGCAACAATGCAACGAAAAATGGCCCTACAATAATTAATTTAGTAATTATTTTATTCTTGTATTTAGTAGAAACATTTATATATTTGGCAACATTGATGAAGTAATGTTTTATTTTGAAAATTGTTTAAATTAATTTACAGGATTTTATATAATTATAAATTTTAAAAAATGATTCCTGGGCAACCGCAGGCAGCTGACATATTATTTAGACATGCGTCGGATCACCTAACGCCATTTTTGCATTCACTTGCATTTGCTGGTACTAAAGAAGACATTCACGTTTCTTAAGCGATTGACCGGCTTCGAAAATTTCGTTAGTTTTGTGATCTGTGTAACAATCGTATACGTCGGAAAACTTATTTACATAAGTACATATAAATATAATAATTATTGGTAAGTGTTTGATGTTCGTTGTTTCTTTTTTGTTCTCTCTATTTTTGGTTATAGGCACATTGTACATAACCATACACAATAATTGGGACTCAACCACTTTATATCTTTAACAATTTAGTTGCATGTACATATATTGTATACACCTTATATCTTACACAATTATATAACACATTAGGAAAATAATATTAATATATAATTAATACATTTTTAATTGCAAAAATATTTATGGTATAAGTAAGGTTAACATGAATAGTATTGAATAGATACTAAATAAAGTATTTTTATTGGGATATATTTTGTGATTTCATTACATATGAACTATATACACTGTTGAAGAGATTTGGACAATGTTACATAAATATTTAAATTAAAGAAATCCAAAGTTTCTGCAACATTCAAAGAAATACATAACTTTTGTTGCAGGTGATGCATTTGTAGAATAATATAAAGAAATGGCAAAATATTACATTGATCAAACAGATCAATCGAACAATGAAGAATTACAAACAGTGTATACAAATGCACCTACTGTCAGTTATGTGATAAATTCAGAAGACTCTCAGCATGGTCAATCAATTATTGTTGGCAATGATCAGTTTATGGTACTAGAAAATGTTATTGACCAAAACACAATCACATTGCAGAATCAGTTTGAAATTCCAGCTGGGCAACAGCAAATCTATTACATGGAAACTGATGATAACATACAGGGAATAGAAGCAATTCAAAGTCAACCAGTTATAATGAATAGCTCTATACAGCAGAATGCTACACAAAAATTGATCATGGTACAGCAGAGTCAGCCTTCAATGATCATACAACAGCCACAGATGATACAGAGAACGATGCATAAACAAATTCAACCAAGGATACAAACACCACAACAAATTAATGTGGCAAGTCCACCCAGACTTTTGTTAACTAATCAAGTCAGACCAGGAACTATTAACCCAAGACCCACTATACAAACTAAGATAAATATTCCTAGAAATCCATTGCAAAGAACAGCAAGCCCAGTTCAAAGGGCTGGGCTAAGACCGCAGTTGGTTCCATCATTAGTTCAAAGGCGACCAATAAGAGCCGGAGTGATTCAAAATGATGCACCACCATTATTAATGCAAGGTGGTAATAAAAGTGTAGTGACTAGAACACAATTCACACCTAAAGATATAAGAAAACTTGTGAATGCTTCAATTGCAACAACAGGAGAAATTCTACAAACTGCTGGTTCTTCGGAGGTAATATTTCTGTTTTCTTTACAAAGTTAGACAACTTCTTTTACTTAATGTGTTCCACTTATAATGTAAATATTAACCTCAAATCTAGTTATTCTTTTTTTTCCTATTTGTTGAGCAAATGCTTGTATGCTAACAATAATTATTTTTTTAACAAGCAATTGTTTTAGTTAGTAACCAAAAATATTTGTTTTAGGAACAAAGTGTAGAAGGAGAAAGTACAGTCATATCAATGCAAGAGTATCAGCAACTATTGGCTGATCGCAAAAGAGCAGCTGAGAAGTAAGTAGATTGTAAAAAAAAATGTAACAATTATCCACTAATATTTTTATTAACAGTACTAACAAGATGATGAACCGGATTAAAAATTTGAACAAGAAGGCTACAATAAAAATACCATTGACACGACCAACTGCAACAGCTATTCAGACACAAGCAAAACCTCAGCTACTGGTGAATGAAGAAGAAAGTACGCGTTTAGAGAAGGCAGGAAAAAGACATCAAAATGCTCGAATAATAAAGCCTAAGGATAACAACAGATTACCAGCTATTTTAAGAAATTTTGTCCCGCCACCAGAAATTAGAGATATTATAAGCAAAACACAACATACATTGGAATTTCAAAATTCAATTAGAATGTTTGTAATTCATGAGAGCGGTGAACAGAGGCTAATAACATTTACAATGCCTAAGGAAGACTGCACTATACAAGAAATTTTGGAACAGGTAAGAATTGCAATTTTAAAATTCTCTAACATTATTTAAATATATTTATTTGTAGGTTGGAGTTCCAATTGCAGCAAATACAAAAATAGCTATTTCAGAAACAAATGCTGATGGTATTAACTTAGTTGTTTCTGTTGGCATTCCAGTTGATGATGTAAAGTTATAAATTACTACATTTTATATAAAATATATTAAAATATCTTATTTTCAGGATATACCTGAACCTGAATCTTCAATTAAAAATGTACCGTCATCTTCTGCTGCACCTCTCATACTTAATTCTAAGGGTAGTTTGGAAATCCCTCCTAAGGTTGCAACCCCTGAACTGTCAGCACCTCAAGAAAATGAAACACCTAAGTACATTCAAGGAATGTTAGCAGTTTGCACTCATTGCGGATTTCTATCTGATGATTTCAATAAATGCATTAGATGTAAAAGCAAATTACCAGATGGAATAAAAGCAGTGCCTAGTTCTAACTTTTACAAGAAAGGCACTGATGCACGAGTCCAGAAACCAACAATAGCCATTAACTTGAAGAACAATGGTAAGATTGTATATTTATTCAATGCAATTTGATTTAATATATTGTTTTTAGGCAATGTCAAACCTTCAACTTCTATAGGAATAGCTAAAAAAAAGATGAAGCCGAAAGTAGTTGATCAGGAACCTGTTATACTGACATTAAGTTCTGATGATGAAGATGCTGATGAATCACAATCAAATGTAAGTTTTGTCTTTCTGAAAATTAAACTCTATATTTATCATCATTTTTTCAAATAGAATGCAGACCAGCAAACAAAAAAATCTGAATCTCCGATTTCTATTCCACAAGAACCATCTCTAAACGATTTCAAAGAGAATGGATCAAATGAAGGTAAAATACACTAACTAAAGTATTTATATTCCTTATTATAATATTGTTTTTTCTAGTAACCCGTTTAGATATAAAAGAAGCGGGTAGCAAAGAAGCTCTAATTACAGCAAAATTACGTTGTAGGACTATTCGAATTGGTTCGTATAACATTCAAGCGCCAGATGAGGTATGCGTAGTATTGTATTGGTAACTGTAATATTTAATAATGTTAATCTGTTTACAGATAATTTTAAACACGAAGGAATTAATTTTGCGCATACCAAGTCTGGAAGATAACGCAATTAAATCAATTAAAGTACCACGAACTTCAGTGGTCAAAGTATTAGCTAATTTCCAAAAGCTAGTTCCAGTTATATTTTACTATGTTGCACCATCTATCGGTGAAAGTATTAGAAATGAGTTACATATGACAACGGGAGGGGAATATTATTTTGATCCCGTATCTAACGAAGAGACTTACAAGAGAATAACATTGTTGCTCGATAGTGTATCCGAAGAAATTAAATGGATCTTCACGGAAATTTATCGAGCTGTTGGTAAATTTGAAGAATTGAACGTTAAAGATGCTAATATTGTATTGGTGAAAAGTTCTCCCAGGCCTATTGTGAAACTGCCAACAATAACGTAAATATTACTTATCTTTTTAATATCATTAATATAATATTTATTTTAGTCAAGCATCTGCAATGAGTAGCTCTGAAGTAAGACAACTATTAATCTATCCACCAGGTATTACAGGTGGTTTACCTATAAACACTGAAGACTACTTATGCCTAGCACAAGATCAATTTTTAAATGATGTGATAATAGATTTTTATTTGAAATATTTAGTATTGAATTTACCAAAAGAAAGTCAAGACAAAATTCATGTTTTTTCAACATTCTTCTATAAAAGATTAACCACAAAGCCTACAAAACCATCTAGGTATGTTTTAGTATTATTAAATAGTTTTGTAAGTAATAAAAGTATTCATTTTGGCGCACATGTATTATTATTTTATTAAAATCTTGAAAATTCTCAGAAATGTAAACGAGTGTTGCCAAAATAAGTATTTTTTTTGTTATAACATTGAGAACATTGCTTACAATGTTGCCGTGTCATTTTAAATATATGTTCTATGGTTGTGAACACTGCTTATTTTCAATGACGATGTTGCCAACATCATTTCTTATGTCATAATTTTTTGATTTTAGGAGAACGTATCCAGCTGAAATGGATCCATTATTAACAGCCGCACAAAAAAGACATTCACGAGTTAAAAGTTGGACCAAGAATGTTAATCTTTTTGAGAAAGACTATGTTGTAGTACCTATAAATGAGAATGCTCACTGGTTCTTAGCAATTATTTGTTTTCCGGGAATGAATGGCGCGCACACATTCGATGGAAAACCATATAAAATTGAACAGATTGAACATAAAAGTATATCTACCCTTAAAGTGGTGAAGCGAATTATTTATTCTTATATTTCTAGGACGGATTGTCACTAACAATCTCACACTAAGGCAAATGAAAATTGAAAAGGCCGCAGCTACGGTTAATTGCGATGAGGGTGACTTAAGTGATAAGGATGAAGCTGAGGGTGATGAAAGCGAGTTAGATTCAAATGAAGATAGTGACGATGCAGCAACTACATCTTCCGTTAAAATATTACAAAGTGAATCTATAAAACAGTAAGTACTATCGTGATAACATGAAAAGGCAACGTTGCCTTTTAAATTTCACCTTAATATAACCTTTAAAATATTCTTGACCCTTAGTAAAACTCGATGATTATATTTTATTCAATGACAGATCAGCTGTTTAACTTGGTAGCCATCTTTAATATTTTTAGAAAACTATAGTTGGCAACACTACATTATTTGAAAAATGGAATTTGACCCTTATCGCTGTACTAGCTTCGGCAATACTAAAGAGTATAACCTTGAAGCTAAATTTAATTATTTTTTTAAATTTCAGACCGTGCATCTTAATTTTCGATTCGTTGGCTGGTGCAAGTAGAGCAAGAGTAGTCGCTACTTTAAGAGATTATCTAACTTGCGAGCACAAAATAAAACAAGGCACAGTAAAAGTATTTAACAAGGATGTTATTAAAGGTGCTTGTCCAAAAATCCCGCAACAGACTAATTATACCGATTGCGGGTTATACTTACTGCAATACGTAGAAAGTTTCTTCCAAGTAATATTTCCGGACATCTGTCATTTCGAATTACTTTAAAACATTTATTTTTTTTTTCAGGATCCTATTAAAGATTACCGTTTACCTATTTCGACATTAAAGTTATGGTTTAATGAATTGACAGTAACCAAAAAACGCGAGGACATATCAAATTTGATAAAGTCTCTAATGGTAGAATACAAGAAGAATGTGAATATATTGCCGATTCTACAATTTCCAACATTGAACGGTAGAACGATTTTAAGGTTTAAGTTACAACTTACTAAAATTGCTATTAATTTAGGTGAGTTAGTGGAAACGCAGCCGGAAGAGGACGAGGAGGAGGAAGAAGAGGAACCAATGGATGAAGAAGAGGACGAGGAATGCGATGGACCTAGGGACGAGGTGGAATCGGAGAACGAAAATGTAACAAGCTCACAGGATACCTCGTTGATTAAACCTAGCGAGTCCTCTGCTAATCTTGATACAGGGTTTACGGAGGAGTCTGTGTTTAACACTTCTAAAGTAAAGCCGGATATGAAGGAAGTTCCTACCATAAGCAACAGAGATACAATGTCCTATTTAAAATCCAAGAGAATCATCAAACATAGAGTCACTGATTCCTCTGACATTAAGAAAATGCGCCTGGCTGACTAATTGTTTCAGTATGAAATTCATTTTTTTGTTATACTACTGAGTATTAAGTTATTTCATTTCTTTTTATTATAATTCATTGCTCTTATATTAATATTAAATCGATAATTTTGAGTTATTTTAATATATGTACAATTTGTAAATAAATAACAGCATATTCGTTTAACACTGTATATACATGTTATAGTAATTAGTGACCATTTATATTAATCTTTCGTTATGGCAACTCTATGGCACATTGTTTAAAATTGAAAATGTAAGCGATTTTTTTTGTTGATTTTAGAAACTAGGATGGTGAATATTTTTTGATAAGGTCTGTTGAAATCAGTGATGTACATTTTTATAAATTTGATTTATTGTTGTGGTATTTACAAGATTTTTTTTTTACTGAACAAAAAAAAGCATACTTATTGGAAAAATAGTGTTGATGTTCATATATCGAGCCCACTAATTTGTCGTTAAAGTTACATTTATAGAAATCTATAAACGATGAGTCTTAATTCTTCATTAGTAAAGGAAGATACTGTAAAACCGGGTAAGTTCTACATATATTCGTGAACGTTTACTTTAGTTGTAATGTATTCAAAAAGTACGGGAACGATGGAAGGATATATCTGTGTTTTCAATAAACTACATATTTTATATTGATTTTTGATGTCGCCTAATTGCTAATTATATTGTTTTATTATGTTTAATATACTAATTTTTACTAAGAATTGAGTAATTCTAATAGAATTATTTTTCTATTGCATGTTAATTGTATTTATCAGCTGGCTTTCATTACAACTTCTCGTATGTGATAACAGAGGGCAATGGCAGTTATTTAACTTTACTGATCATAATACATTATTGTTTCTTTTGCAAATGTTTGGATAGAGTGTTAACATTTCTGTTATCACCTATATTCGTTTCGGTTGCGTAGCTTTGCTTGTACTCCAATTTTTGTTGCTACAAAATAGAAAATAGAAAACAAACAATTGTATCGTGTGAATACGACTTCTGTTGCGGCATTGACGTTAAAGTCATAGCGCAAAGAGCTTTAGATATAGAATTTACGCTGTCCTGAGTGAAGCGTATTGCAGATAGTTCCATTGGAGTGAATTGGGAATAACGGGTTGATTTCACAGAACAATTGTAGTCTGAAGACAATACTTGAAAAAGCGTACCAGACGAATCAATTACTGCACAGCTTTGTCGCCCATAAGTGTCAGAAATTCCTCACGATCATCGTGCTTATACCTGTGCATGGCGGCTGTCATCCTGTGTGTTACAATTTTTGTTAATAATTCTAAGCATTTGACTAGAATTTTTTAGATCCTTCTAGTGCAACGAAGAGGTGAGTAACATAGAACCATTTTATACGGGTACATCTTATCTCATGGAATACCGCATTCTTTTGCCAATTCTTCTGATCAACGAGGTATTTTCAATTGAAGAATTCTCTATGTACATATCGTTTTTGTTTAAACACTGATGGGATGATGCTATTAAATAATGATACACGGAGTGTTTACCAGTAAGCTGTTTCGAAATTTGCATAATGGATGTCAATATAAGAACATGGTGGTAAATTCAGAACCATATAAGACCATTCAGAGCTACTTGACTGTAATTCCATTTGAACATTAATACACCCACATCAAGTAGCTGGTACATTAATGCAAAACGTTTTTCATTCGTTTGTTTTTACTTTTCGGTACCATTGTTTTCATATGAAGTCACATCATTGTGAACTTTTTAATTCCGTTGACTTTAACGCAAATAAACATTTATTTTTATACAGTTAAAAATATGTTCTCGGAACCATTTTTTATGTCCTTTCAGAAAAACAGTTCTATTAGAAATAAAGTAATTACCGGTAACACGAATTCCTATTATAATTTTAATTGGATTTCTGTCAGCTGTATCCAATATGAAAAATATCTTTTTCGACAATACGTACGTATTTAATCACAGATAGTGTATGAGTATTATAAATGATTGCAATTTTTAGATAAATTATCTGCAATTTATAAATTGTAAAAACTAAATAATTTTTGTAATGTATTAGTTTTTAATGAAGAAAACATAATCAATGTTGAGAACGACGTCATTACAATAGGGGTGTGGAACGTTCTCAAAACGACATTCGTTAAGGGCATATTGCATAGAACCCTTGCACAAGGAAGGAAGCATTGTCATGTAGATGGAGTATTCATTCTTATGCTCAACTTTCCATAGCTTTTGTCCATTGTATAATATATCGAAATCTGTTTCTATAACTTTCCTAAGTAAGTCGTTACGGCTTTTGATATTGAAATTTATAATTGTAATTTTCACTTCGAGCGAATTATTGAAATTGAAAGACGAAATGATCAAATTATTATTTCGTAATAATAGTTTGCATTTAAGGATTCGATGTACTTATAATTTTAGCTAATTCACAAAATGATCATTCATCAAACTGTTATTGTATGATCATATGTTTTCGCAATTGTAATGTATGTTATTATATAAATAGTGTAATTTCAAGTTAAACGTTTGCTGCTTTGTCTGATCACCTTACATTATACGCGAGACTTTCAACGGTTCAATGTACTTATTACTTTAATAGTATTGAACAATCGCGCAGATATTACAAGCAGTATTTGTTATTAAATTCTTTCACTTTAAAAATTGTTTTTTTTTTATTATTTAATTATAAATAAAAGTGCGAGTCTACAAAATAAGAAAACATATCTTGACAAGATTTTCGGGATTTGTATCAATTTTTGGTTAGTATCCCCCCCGAATAGAATTTTACATAATATAGTGAAGAATCCGAGTTTTTTTTTCATTGAACCGGTAACCTAGCTGTAATGAGAATCTACAATTGTTTTATAGTATAAACAAATCATTAATAGTACAGCGTAGTATACTAAACAATCATAAACGGAAAACAGATACATAAGTAAATGTATAATAGTTCGGTTCATTGAAATGGCCTGGACAAAAATTAATTACGAATGTTCAAAATATTTATTACGTGCTAAAATGCTAGATGATTCATAGGACGTACATAAGATTTTGCAAATGTTCTACAGCGAAATATCCTTTACTCTATACCTCCCTTATAGATTGACAATTTGAGTGATCTCATTTTAAACATTGGAGAAATACATTTTCTCATTGTTATTAGAATATTGCGTTTTAAGTTAATTTTCTTATAAACGCTTTATTAAGAATTCTAATAACAATTTTAATTGCTTTTCAAGTTATTAATTTGAACAGAACATAATATTATTTAGCAAATAACAATGGAACAAAAACCTGCGGTTATGCTCGGCAGCTGCTTTGCGGTTTAAAACTATCAATCTTTTCTCTCTCTAAATGCTTAGAGAACTGACTTTCTATCTTATTATTTTCTCGTTTGATTTACTGTACATAATATTGTCAATTATTATATTATTAATTAAACTACTGATAACTATGTATTTTAAGACTTCTTGATTACCAAAATATTGTTTTATTTGTGAGATTAATCGAGTGTTACGATTTTAAAGTAAAACCTTATCGTTGACCTCGATTAAATTAGTCTTCGAAGATTTAAAAATTCCGTTTGTATTCGAAATATATAGGATGAAAGATTATGCTGTGTTGTTTGTACATAACATTGTCTGTGCGAAATGCCGCACAGGAGGAGATACTCGCTCGCAAAGAACATATAAATATCGATTACGCAATGCCGCATTTTTGTTTATGGTGCGCGGCAAACATTTTATTGCGAACCTTCGGAACATAGACGAGCAATGTTTTGATTGTCCGGAAAGTATATGCCCGCGGCTATCAATATGTTGCTAAAATGATCACAGATAAGAGCACAAATTATCTCAACAAAAATATTATTTTGTCGTGGTTTCTGCTTAATAAGTGAAAGAAAGTGCAGTGTGTATTTATAACTGCTCTCGGTCAAGTTATCGACGTTTATTTACGGTGCAACTGAATCGAATCAGTCGATTTTGTGTTTTGAATATAAAGTGCATATTGTAAGGTGCGAAATAAGTGCATTCTATTTATAAAACGATATCTTTGAACCACTATTCTTTGCACGCTATTGATTAACTCTATTTATGTAGATATATTTATTATATTAATATAGAATGGGATGAGAATGAGAAACACAAAATGTAAATAATTCACTAAGTCAATGGACTTACATCAGTTAACATACTTTTAGATTAAATATTAGTTTATTAAAATTACATTAATTTAGTTGCAGTTTCTTTTATCATATTTTTAAAATTAATATTTATAAGAATTATAAAAAATATTACGAACAATTTAATTGTTATAAATTTATAAAAAGATTTTTTGATTTTATGAAGTAATTGAGTGGGCTTAATTTTTTTCTATTCAGAAATGGCAGATTCTGCAAGTGAATCCGATTCGAGCAGTATTGACGGAGGTCCAATAATGATGCCCCCAAGCCCCATTACTAGAGAACAACTACAAAAGCGCATCGAAAGTTTACAGCAGCAAAATAGAGTACTTAAAGTGGAATTGGAAACATACAAACTCCGCGTAAAAGCTTTACAAGAAGAGAATAGAGGATTAAGGCAAGCATCGGTTATAATAGTGAGTACAAACATATGTTTTGTTCCTATTCCATAGAAAATCTGGGCTTTTGGTCAAATAAAAAATATGAAGTCTTGATATATTAATATATTTGACATTTTTTTCAATACAATAAATGTAATTGTTTTATATTGTAGCAAGCTAGAGCGGAGCAAGAAGAGGAGTTTATATCAAATACTCTGCTCAAGAAGATTCAAGCGTTGAAGAAAGAGAAGGAATCGTTGGCACATCATTATGAAAGAGAGGAGGAGTGCTTGACTAATGATTTGTCTCGCAAACTGACTCAATTGCGCCAAGAGAAATGCCGGTTGGAGCAGACACTGGAACAAGAACAAGAGTGCCTTGTTAATAGGTTAATGAGGAAGATCGAGAAGCTCGAGGCGGAAACGTTGGCGAAGCAAAGCAATTTGGAGCAGTTAAGGAGGGAAAAGGTCAATATTTTCTTTATTTTATATTAACGTTATTATGGAAATTCTTAATAAATTAAATTCATTTAGGTGGAATTGGAGAACACTTTGGAGCAGGAACAGGAAGCACTCGTGAATAAATTGTGGAAGCGCATGGATAAGCTTGAAGCGGAGAAACGTATGCTACAAATTAAACTTGACCAGCCGGTTTCTGATCCAGCGAGTCCCCGAGATATCCACAATGGAGATACTGCGACCAACTTGAGTGCCCACATTCAGACGTTGAGATCTGAAGTGGCTAGACTTCGACAGCAACTAGCTGTCAGCCAACAAGAGCATACACAAAAGATGCAACGCTACGTGCAGGAGGAGCGTTGCATTCGCGAGGAGAATTTGAGGTTGCAAAGGAAACTGCAGCTGGAAGTGGAAAGACGCGAAGCTCTATGCCGCCATTTGTCGGAGAGCGAAAGTTCTCTGGAAATGGAGGAGGAGAGACATTATAATGAACAGGTTCTTGTCGTCAGACAGCACACCGTTAGTCCTGTTCCTTATAATCCGTCGCCTAGCCAGAGTCGTCCATTAAGTCCAGGTAACGAAAATTAAATAAACAAATCTATTAAAAATGGTTCTAATAAAAAAAAAACATTTCTTAACAGGCCTGTCGTTGCAAGCACCCTCATCTAGAGATTCTTTAATAGTATCTGCTTCTCGTTGCCACAGCTGTGGTCAGCTCCAACCGCCCGCATGCGTTCCATCGAATTTACATACAGTTGGATCGAGTAGTCCTCCGGCGCCTCCCCATAGACGCACGGGCGAAAGGTTTATAAAGCCAGCAATACCCGCTCCTCAGCCAGCTAGTCCCATGGATACTTCCGTAAACAAGGAGTGAGGTTGCCGTAATGACAACAAATTTTAAGCTAAAACTGGAATTTCCTAATATTTGTTTACTCTTTTTACAGTTTCAACAATGATAAACTATAATGGTTGATAAAAAAAAAGTATATTTATCTGTGTATAAAATTGAATATCTATTATTTCATTTTTATATGTATTTCATTTGGACAAAATTAATGTTTAGCAATACCTTCAATCTATTGCTAGTTATCGAGTTAATGAACGTTTTGATGTCTTAGCAGCTACGTGTTAACAAGAAGCAAATAATTATAAAAAAAATAATTTGCTTGTCGAGTACTTAAAACTATTATAAATGTAAAATTTCGATATATAATATATTCTATCTTATAAGGAGCTTCTTGATGTTTGCCTATATGAGCTCATCAAAATGTAATTCACGTTAAATGTTAAACTGAACCATTCTCCATATAGGTTTCTTATTTGACAATGAAATTGTCTACTGTTTCGCTTTTACATTTGATTCGTGTGTGTGTGTTTTGTTTTTCTTGTTTATTTCACGCACCTGCACTGTCATTCATTTTCTTACGTTACTCTAAGGATATACACATGATCCGCTCACATTTCATTCCAATTAACAACATATCCTTTCTTATTCGATTTCTTTACGTTTATGCATCACCTATTTTGATATGTATATCCAATAAGCACACATATAATATATATATATATATAAGGATTAAAAAAAATAATTTTCTCTTATTACTATTAGTTAAAGTTTAACTCTTATAATGTTGAGGTTTTTTTTTTGTTATATATTTTGCCATTAATAGCTTATTTGTTTTGTTGAATTCTCATGCACTGTTGTAATCAGTGTCAAAATTGAAAGTGATATTAGTTGTAATATTTGGTAATATACATATTATATAAATATATATATTGATCGGAGGTTATCGCTCCTTTAAAATAAAAAGCATTATTATTAACGTATAGTAAATATTGTATAATCATGCAGCTTTATAGGTGTTTAAGTTTTTTTTTTAAATCAAAATTTTTATTACAGTAAATTATGCATTTTTTTGCATTAAATTACTTTTTTTTTACATATATTATATCCTTTGTGATATCTTGCTATTATTTCGCTTAATTTTGTTTTTAATTTTGAATTAACTGATTGTTTTACAGATGTTTTCATTGGATTCTATTATATAGTAAAATATGTAATTTTTAAATGTCTTAAGTTTATAAATGTAATAAAGGCTTATCGAGAGGTTTTGCTGGAAATGTTTTGGATATAAAAAAAAACTAACGCCGATCCTGCTACAAGTTGAGAATAATTTTTATTTTAATGTTTATGACTAATATCTATTTTAATAAACTAAAAGAAAAATTTTAGATTAGATTTGAATTTGATAATTTCTTTGTGGAATTATTTAAGAGCTTGATCATATTAAAATAAAAGATGCATATTTCAAAGGAACTAATTTAAATGCAGTTTAGTCCCAGTTTATCGACCCTATACCTACCAAATAGATATAATTAAATTACATATTTATAACTATTTGAAATACTTTATACATACAAATTGTTCACTTAGAGATGAAAAAGTGACATTATATTTGTCCGGAATTGAGAGGCTCGCTCATCCACGTTGTTTAACTTTCACAAGTTGTCAAATACGAATGACAGGTGAACCCGAAGAGGATATATTACTTAAAATACGTAGAGGGAAGTTATGTAATATACTACTATTGTTGATTTCAATTCAATGTAAAAGTAGGTTCAAATTATGAAAGGATTTGATTTAGCTGACAGATTATATTTTATTAATTGAAATTAATTAAAGTCTACGAAATTTACAAAACTTATTTTCTCACAGAATTTATATTCGACTATATTTTTAATATATGTAGATTACATTTGTTATAATAAATATTTTGTACAATCTATTGGGAATGACAAATATCACTATAATTGCTAAAACTAGGATCTTCATTATTAAAAGCATAATTATTAAAATCCTATAACAATAATTTAAGAGTTTACGAAAAACGTTTCTTTTCAGATTTGTGTCCTAGAAAAAAAAAATAAGATTTAATTACATATTTTACAAGAAGTTCAAATACAAAATTATTATAAATCACTTAAATAACTATTTTATCTTTTTTTAAATTGCCAGAAATTTTTACATATAATGCCCGACAAAGCAACAACGCTAAAATGATTAATGTTTCAATATTTTTTTTACTTACTCAGTACTATGATTCATATTTCTTGATCTCATAAGAAATGTTGACTTGTTGTGGTTTCTTATTCTAAAAAAATGGCTATGAATTATGCTAAGTACATGACATTGGTTTACTTAAGATCTATTCCAGGCATTCCCATCTCGACAGATGAATTCTTGTGATGACGTCTATGGTTTCTCAACGACATGTACAAGGACAAACTATTTTTGACAGCATTTCGGACCTATGAAAGATAAAATCATTTTAATCGACGGATTGTAATTAATTGTTGATGTATCGAGCACCTCTCCATTCAGCAGACAATAGAGAGTAGCGATGAAGAATCCTTGAAAAGAGATTAAAAAGTACGTGGTGTAGGACCAAATTGCAAATTTCCTGGAATCCTTGAAAGTTCTGTAGTCTATGAGAAATAGGATATTCGATGTTCCCATTAGAGGAACAAGGAATATCGCAGCCCTCACAGCCTTCCTAAAATATGCATTAAATTAAAATCACTGAATAACACACTAACTACACACGATACCTGATTTGTTGTATTTCGCCCAGTTCGCTCTTCCTGAGTTTCAATACCAATATTCGAATTATATTCAACAAGAATAATAGATTAACCTGGTACAGAAAAATAAAGAAAATTCTAATCCACTATACATATACAAATAAAGAGTTCATCTTACCACGATGAACGCATTCCTCGGACCCTCCAGGATCCAGTAAACCGGAAGGAAATTGTACAAATACCAACATCTGTATCATATAAAAAAACATGAAGTCATTAACAAAATCTTATTAAAATGCAATTTCACGCTTCACTGAGTATCAAAAACTTTAATTATCAACATCCAATAGCATGGAAATTAATACTCACTCATCAGTTTCCACGTAGTTCATTGCTATGATCCATATAAATGTGAGTATCTGTGGAACAATCCAGCCCATGTAATAGTATATTTTTATGTAAGAATGCTCTTGAAATACTGTAAAAGTTATTGCGTTGTGAAGGTAGAGCCCTTCAATGAAAGTCCACATGATTGTGGCCGTTTTACTAAACTCTAAAAGAATGTAAAAAGCCTCGCAGAGATAGTCCTGAAAATAAAATAGTCTTAAAATATTTGAAAGCTTTATAAATCCATTATATTCATTTCGAAATCCATTACGGATTGTGAACAATATTGAACAACAATAGATATGCTCTTTAAATGCGAAAGCTTTTTCTAATTGTATTTAAAATAAATAAATTTAAAAATCTACTGTTTTTTGTATGTATTCTACAACATACTTTTGCGTCTTCTTCAGATATTTTTATAATCATACAAAAAAAAATATATAATTATTGATTCTATAATGACGACTTAATGTGGGAAATCTAATTGGCAGTATGGGCTATAAATTGGATAATTAATCGGCAAATTATAATAGGAATTGACAATTAGTATGTATCATCTGTATATTCCGTTAATCTTATATAAAAATTATTGTATGTGAGATATCAATGCAATATAATCACAAAAAATATAACATCCAGGGCGGAAATAGTCCGTCGTTGTACTTTTATGTATACTATACATTTTACACGAGAATAAAAGCTGGTGTCTATCTGGGACAAAATTAATGATCATTGATCTATCGAAGATTGGAAAATAATGAAGAAAATGACATTATTATTATTTGAAATGTCTCTTTTGATGGAGTCATAATTAAATGATGAACGCAGCGCAATTTGATCTAATTTATTGTATAGGTTTGAAAATATATATTACAGATCAAGGCATTTTACATAATTTGCGCAAATTATTTTTGTAATTGCTGAAACATTTACTCTTTTATGATGAAAAAAATCAAGTTTTCGATGTCTAATCGATATGTTAACAAGATTTATGAATGTTAATTATTATAAATATGATAACAATGCTATAGTTTCCTATAATTTGATTTTAAATAAATCAACAAATCCATATTTCACATTTCATTGGATTAAACTATATTATATAAAGTAAACATTAAATAATTAGTTTTATCAGTTAATTGGAAATTAATACTAATTTATATATGCAATATATTGCAATGATTTTTCCGCCCTGCCTAATTTGCCGATTTTATATATATTTTCTAACTATAACAAAATGTATTTCTGAAAACATGTTTTTCACTTAAAAATAATAAAATACATTTCAGTGGATGCGATCTCCCTTTGTAAATAATATTTCTAGGAAGAGACCTTTTCCCGTATGTTATACACGCATCTGGAGATTCTTTTTTAGTCATTAGTTTTTGTCGGTATATCCGACCGAGATTTCTCGAAAAAACTAGTCCAATATTTTTATTTTACGATTACATATGTTACGTAATATTTATTAATTACCAAGATATGGCGATCAATTATAATACGCTTAATAGTTTTAGTTATTTTACAGAATGCCTAGACATTACATCGAATTATAAACTGTTATATCGGACAATGTAAATTTTACTTACTACACGTTCCATGAAGCTGGACGCTAGACGTTGATCCACGTAAATTATTAGTCTAACGACAACTTGGATTGCGGTAGCGATGAACAAATTTTTGTGTATTTTCGTTCTGTTGTTTTTCAATATGCTGAAACGTCGTACAATCATTACACAATTATTTCCTATTTTTACCTCTATTTACTATTACCTGTGCGTATAAAATATAATTAAAGCGACTATTATGAATATAAGCGATAAGCTTAATCCGACCATTTCAATTTCCCTTGCAATGCCGGCGACCTAAAACAGATGTAATTACTTTGCGCCAAATTAGGATTTACGTGTCTAGTTTCACCTTCATGCAGGTGTCCATTCCCATTTGATCACACATATTATATAACTCCATTACTAATGGTTTGAGACAACCGCTGTAATTAGTATAGCCTCTTTCGGTCAGTTCCGGTTTGTAATTATTGAACCAAGTGCCATTCTCGTTGCACTTTCGCCATGCATGTTCTACGAATCATTATAAATATATCTTATAATTTCCATTATTTACTCTTCACTTACTCTTCTGGCTGAACCCTTTGTGTATAGGACATTTCTGATACGAAATGTTTCCAGACGCCGTCGGTTCCCAGCAAAGCATGTTGTCGAATGCTGGACCACAGTAATCTGAAAATAAGACGAAACATCATACTTGATTAGTTTCAATTGCGAAACGTAACAGATCGCTCGAAAGCTTCGCGACAATAGAAAAAGGAAATGGAAGATACGAATATCGTCTTCGTACTGATTTTATTTTAACCATTTAATATCTACTGAAATTGCGCATTGTCAAAACAAATAAAACTATTTTTATTTTGTTCATTGCACACTTGAATTGTTTGGGCAAGTTTCGATGCTAGAAGTTTACCTGAAGACGAGACTATTCTACAACTGAACTTCAAGTAAGAGCTGAAACAGACACTATATACCCATATATCTCAGTTTATTCCGCACAAATATTCAGTTAATTTATGACTTTCAAAGGTAAATAATAAATAATATTATGTATCAGTCTTACATAAACAAATAAATACGTATTTATAAATGAAATCATAACAAAAATAAATATAAAGAATTAAATCACAAACATTTATTTTCTCTGACATACCAAACTTTTTTCAATAAGCATATATCATTTATTAAATATTTATATGTACAATTTAGGAAATCATACTAAGCAATTGTTCATGTACAATGTAATTAATTCAATTTGATATAATTGATGTTCGTTAATGTATTTTTTATAAACTAATTGCAATAGAAAAATAGTAAATAAATAATAATTAAAATCGAAAATCGTTTCTTTTTAAGTTGTTTGTGTATTATCAATATGTAATTATATTGTTTTTGTTTTGTATGACTCTTGAAATGAACATTATTATTAATACGAAATGAAGTATCTTTGCAAGCGATTTCATTCGAAATTAATTTCTATACCAAGATCTTAGACTTCCTCTTTGTTCTTCAGCGTAGTTAATTTTAAGATTAATCAATACATAAATTGAAAATTTTAATGGATATTGCAAGTAAGCTTTTCCTTAATCCTGTTTTCTTTTGCTATACTATTTCTTTTTTAATTTGCGACGGAAAGATTTGTAGCTTTTTGTAACAGTTGATTTTTTTATATTATATATTTTTGTTTATGTGATTGTTATAATAACTTAATTTATTTAATAGAATTAGAAATGAAATATGTGTGATGAGAAGATTTTATAAATGTAAATGTAAAAAAATGTAAGGCAATTGCAATCTTTCAACTTTGACATTGTCAAAAAAAATAAATAAGTAAGTCTGTGAAGGAAGGCTGTGGTTGAAACAAAACATTATTTTGCCATAGCAAAGTAAATAATGTAAATATAAATATAGATGGGGAAAATTTGTAGTGCGATCTAATAATTTTCTTTCGATCGGGGATTTGTTAAAAGTACCAAAATGTCCAGTGACAACAAGAACAATACGGCATTACTTGTGCTATCAGCAATATCCGAACTTCGTGACACGCAGGGATCGACGGTGAAGGCCATCACAGACTTCATCGAAAATGAATATGATGTCCCTGAGAAAGAGTACAAGCGGTACTTGCGTGGAACTCTTCAGAAGGGCGTCGCGTTCGGGGCTATCAAGAAGAATCGCGGCAAGTATCAATTGGGAGAAGTCCTCAACAAGCTGAAGAAGGTTAGCGGCATAAGGGAGATGAAAGGACGTCGCAGACGGAGCAGAAGCGGACATCGACGCAGGAGAAGGAGCAGGAGGCGTTCCGGCAGCCGCAGGAGGAGACGTTCCCGCAGGAGGATTTAAATGACATATTCTTACAGTGCACACTTTGATGTTCGTCTGAATTCGCATATATAATTTATTTGATGTCTGATTATGCTTATAACAATTCCTGTGTACAAACGTATTATCTGGTATTATAAAAGGATGATACATTTGTAATGAAAATTATATATTGATTGATTTTGTAAGAATTCAAATAATAAAAAAAGTAGTCCTTTCCACTCATCAACATACTTATTTTCTTTTTCTATATTAAACATTATGGAACAATACTTCATTGAAATAAATATTATTATCAAAATTTGATATTATTAAAGTTTGGAAACTAGAGAAAGTATCCAATTATTTTCTATCTTAGTGTATACTTATTTTATAAGATATACAATAAAATTGTCTATGCAAATCTGCCGTTTTGTTAAAAAAAATTACAAGAAAACAAATCAAAAATTACAGATTACCTTTTAAAATGATTATAAATGCGCTTTTGTATCTTTACGAAACGAAAAGATAATATGCGTTTTACTATATTGTCAATTTTAATAAATTATATTCTTAATCCTGTAATTTTAAGTATTCAAAAGTATACTAATCTGTATATTACAGTGATAAAGCATGAAACCTTTAACATTTGTCGGTATTAAAAGAAAAGTGAAAATCATTACCTATATTTTGTTTCAAAATGAATAGAAATGTTGAGACTATAAACCGCAGAGTTTCTAAAATATTTATACTAAATGATTTATTATATCAACGAGCCAGGATTTTATAAATAGACTATTGTTTTATCTATGAGAATTCTACAAATATTGTATTCTCCTCTTGATTCGCTTATAACTGCACAAAATGTACGAGAGAAAATAATATAAAATATGTATAATTTGTACGAACAAGTGTTGTTGAGTTTCATTCCATGTAAATTCTGAATTATTAAAAAAGCACTTTACCTTCGGTATCATTAAATCCTTGGTACATTAATTTGCATAGAGTGTCATTCATCCTGATGTTTCTGAAAAAAGTAAACAAAAATATTAAAATTTAATTTAATTTACAAAGAAACATCGCTATAATGATATTGTATACGAAAATTAATTTTAAACTGAATTTTTATACTACAGATCATTAATGTTAAACATCAATATTTACACGCTACCATCAAGAATGGACAGTCAAATGAAAGAGGTTCACATCATATGGACCTTCAGCCAAAGACAGTGTTAAGGATAGCAGCAGATACACAGACAAAGGGAATAGTGGAATCGCAGAGCATCAATATACTAAAATTAACCTTCAAGTCGGCAGCCAACTAACAAATTACAGAAGAATATAATGGTAAAAACTTCCATCGGGAAGTTTACCAAAAACCAAATGTCTACCGCTATTAGATTTAATTAATGTTCGCAGGAATAAGATTGAAAATTAAATATGACATAATAAAAAAAATATATTATAGATGTGTTAATATATGAACTGGGAGAGTTGTAAATTTATAAGATAGAAAGAATCATATGTAAGGAAATATGTATACATTTTTTTTATTGCCATTCATAGCGACTTATATAATAAAGGCTTTCAAATTTAGAGTTTAGTACATCTGAATGGTTAGTTCTTCATTGAAAGTGCAGATGGGTGTAAATCGATATTTTCAAACAACTGATACACTTTAAACTTATGAATGGTAACTCGGATAGGATGCGCATATGGACAAAGTCGTATTATAATAATTGCGAACTAACTTGTCCCAAATATTAATTTGAAAACTAATTTAATATTTAGCAATTTTTGCATTACAATTTTCTACTAAATTCTCAAGGAAAATATTTCTATAAAAAAGTAATATAAATAGAAGTTATAAGTTGATTGCATTTTATAAAAGTAAACAATTAAAAATTTTAATTACGATTTTAAATGTAATTTGTTTGACGTACTTCTTAAACTTTGGTGGTTAATAAACCGATATTAAATCTGTTTTATTATATTCTTTGCGTGCATATTTTAATGAAGAATCCACTAAACCATTATACGCATGGTCAGATAATTCTAGAATATTACAAGCCTTCGTATTAAATTAATTTCTCATCTTGGAGCTTAGCTTTAGTTTTATTTTGTCGATACCAATATCCTTTTAACACCTGTATTTTGCGGATCAATTAATATGTAATCATTGCGTTTTGGAAATGTGATCATCATTTGTGTAAAATGTAAACGTAAATTATTAGTTGGATTACAGTTACAAATGTTAGGAAAAAAATATCTATTGAATATTTGTGATGAAAATAGTGAGACAGAAAAGTAGGACTTTATATCGATTTAATAGTATTCATCAATTACAGCGGGAAAGCTATTCAGGTCTGCGCCGGATGCAATTTCTTCAGAAAACGTCTCAAACGTTTCGCACATATGATCTTCGCTACATAATTACCAAACTACTGAATCCAATAATGAAACCAATGAAGCAAAGTTCATGCCACACTATTAGAGTTCCTCTAATTGCGTTCATTATGCACTGCATTTAGATTTAGAACGAATATACTTGAAATTGTGTATGATTTCAATATGTACAGTGGAACCTCGCTTAACGAGCATTTCGCTTAATGAGCAAAATGAATTGTAAGAAAACTTAGCTTAACGACTACGCGACGTTTCGCATAACGAGTAACGATGAGAAGAAAAGTCCCGGATTGCGCGCCTCCTACATCATTTATAAAACTTGTATATACATATTATGTGTATTTTTGAATATGTTTCACTATAAAATTAAACTCGGATTAAACTCGTTAAGTGAAGTCCCACTGTAATTGCTTTTCCATGTGAACAATTTTCTTTTGGCGCGAATTACAGCGTTCAAAGTTGAAAAAAAGCAATGTTTTCACATTTTAGTGTTTTTCTCGTAATCTATATTAGATTGAATGAATTGCTGGATGTTTGGGAAATCTAGCAAGTATTAATAATTTGCTATGGCTTCATCCATTTGGCTGTACTTCGCGTTCAAAGTTGAAAAAATAAAAATTAACGAAAAATAAACATTTTATGAATGTATCGTTTAGTAGTTCTTTTGTCATTAAATAATGCAATTTATTTATAATTATGATATTTTGACGTCATAATTGGCATCAGTCTAATTAAGATCTTCAACAGATCATTATTTCATTTATTTTATAGGGACATAAGTAATCCTATTAACGTTCGTTAACAAATGAAACACCAATAATATTAATGAATCAATAATATTATTGGTGTTTCATTTGTAGTAAAGTATTTAATGGGTAATTGCATACAGAATTTCTTATACTTCCATAATAATAGTGAATTATATATGTGTTATAAAAAAAAGTTATAATTTATAGTTAATATGAAAATTTCTTTTATTTCAATATTAGTAAATGGAAAGTCAAAAATATGCATTTTACATCGTATTCTAAATAAAATCAGAATAATGCATCATCTCACATCTCACGAACTGCACATATCCTATATTTTATCCTATTCTCATGAAAATTTTATAGAAATTGAAAAGCGTTGTACTAAATTAAATTCGTCACGCTCCAATGATTATCTCGCATAGTGAGGCTTTGATCAGTCCGGATTCAGTATAGTTTGAAAATTTCGAACCAAACTACTGAATTCATTAATGAAACCAATAAAGCATACCACTATGCACTGAATTTAGAATCGAATCAAATATTGAAAAACGTTGGACTAAATATGTCACGCTCAAATGAGAAAACCTCGTTTGAAAATTTCGAAACAAACTAAATTTTATTTTTATTAGGTTTTAAAATCCTCGATTAGTCTGGAAATCCTCGATTAGTAAATGTAAATTACAAGAACTAATAAGATACAATTATTATAATAAAAATGTATGTGTCAAAAGTAATGAAGTAATACAAATAACAATTAATTTGATACGTAATTATAAGAATTATTCCTTAAAATAGAACAATATTGAGAAGGTGTTCACGACAATTTAATTACAAGTCTTCTGAGAAAGTTATTTTTATTATAGGGCGAAACTAAGGGAAACACATATATCTTATGCTGGAAGGTTATTTACAACAACGCGTTTTACGACATCTAAAGGAAAATGTTTTCGATCTCAGTTTATCGCTTAAGATGGAATACAAATACAGTGTATTTTCTCCAAAAAGTTGCTTATAAAAACTATAAGAAATGGAAATACATTTTTGTTGTCGCTATAAAAATATATGTTAAAAATTCATTTGAAAACTATTGTATGCATGTCAATTTCAAATTCTTAAATTGAAACACAAAAGTAAATAATGCAGAATTGTGTCATCTCTAAATACTTGTATAACCTTCGAAATTCGTTGTATAGTACTTGAATTTGTGTTCGTGTCAAATATAATGGAACTCAAATAGAACGGAAACAATTTGGTAGAGTATATGGGTTAACACATGTTAGAACAGTAAAAATAAATGATCAAATGTAAAGTAAATGAGGATGATCAAATGTAGCGTTACAGTTCCAAATTTGAACAAGCTTAAAAGGACATAGTTTCCTTCCCGTCGCCCAATCTCTGATGTTGTAAACGGTCGTTTAGTCCAGGCAATTTAACACTTTGATTATGCAAGGCAAAATTACAGCCTAAAGGTTTTATTTTCACTAGTTAAATGTGAAACATTTATATTCAAAACATATAGGACATAATTAACTAAACAAATCGTTATAGATGATCCACAAAATTTAATTACATAATAATATTTATTATAATAACAAAAATATGTATTGTAATCAAACAGATTATATGTTTAGTAATCAGCAAATTTATATAGTGTTTTATATATTACCGTTAGCCTCGAATTATGTTTATGTAAAATGTTTCCTCAATTCTCTTGCGAGATATTTCCATCGTTACGTTATGAGAATGTATCTTTTTAATGCAAACACAGTTTAAAGTAAGATTTACAAATGTTTATATTATCACCCTAGTTCTCATCACATCAATTGTAATGTAAGGTTGTCATTTTTTTAAGAAATAGAAAAGCTCGATTTGTTCATTATTCATAATCATCATTTTCTGCAATATATGAAATGAAATATCACGTTTTGTTTAAATTACGTAGCTTTTTCAACAAGAGATCAGACGTACAGACGTACTCAAGAAGATTAATCTATATCGGCAAATGAACAATCTGCTATAATTTTGTGGCGAATATATTTTTAGCAAACAGTGTTATTTATTATTATTGGGCCATGCTATTTTCAACTCGTGTAAAACAGGTTTGAGTGTATTTACTTATAAAAATATGTATGTAAGCATGAAAGGTGACCGGATCTTTCATGCAGATTATTTATAGACGTATTGTAATTATTAAAAAAAAATGAAATAATAATATTTAGATTTTCATTTAATAATAACTATTTAACTAAGGGCTATTGACGTACTTATTATTATAAATAAAAAAACATATAAAACTGTAATTAAATATTTAAAATGTGGAAATACTTCTAATTATAATGTTTTTGCATACATTCTATGAAACAAACGAATACTGATTTGTTAGATAAAAGTAAATATCATTAGTTTATATGATCCAAATACGATTCGAGATTTCTTTGTTTATGTTTAGATTATCTTCAAAAGAAACGACATCTAAATATTTAAACGGGAATTAACAATCTCCGATTTGTGATTTAATAGTATCCATCAAACAGTTTCACAAATAAATGCATTCTAGTTTAAATTATTTTTGCTCATATCAGTGGCGTAGCTAGAAATATTGGGCCTTTTCTCTCTTCTTGTTGTCCTTAGTTTATTTGTACACTAACACTGTTTACAAATACTTGGTAGGGTATAAATATAAAATAGGCGATTGTTTTGAAATACGCCTTTTTTGGGCAAGAAAACTTCGCTCATCTGCGTCACAATGAATTACCTGTAGCTTTGCCCGTTTAAACAATCCTTATTTGGACATGAAAAGAGTGCGTTTGGCATAATCAATAAGAAAGTAAATAATTTGGCGATTGTTTTAAACTAAAACACGAATCGTTACGAAGTATGAGCTGCAGCAGATCCAGCGAATCTAAAAACACTGGAGCAATGATTTTATTACTCACATGGATCTATTACACATACAAAATTTACAGAATTAGAAAAAAACTCACTTGCCAAATTAACCCTCTAAATTCACATCTTCTTGGAGATCACAGATTCTTGAAGATATTTATGAAATGATTTTTTCAAAGCAAGCTATGATTTGCTGTTTTTCTTCGCCGCTTCTTCATGAATCTTGATAATATGTGTCCAAAAATTTAATGAAGCTAGTGAAAGAAATAAGCTAGATGTATTTGTCTAAACGTTCTGTGGTTTTTGTAAATTACTAAACTAAAACCTTACAACTAATTTCAGTTTTCATTTTGTATCAACTTTTTTATGTTTTTAGTAAAATAATTCTTTAATTTTTATATTTTAAGTTTAGGCTCAAAAACCGATGTTTTAAGTTGGAATACCTACAAACCCTACTTACTATGCAGTAGCTACGCCACTGTTTCGTATATTTCCTTAAAAAAAAAAGAAATTGGTAATGCAAATAAAAAAAAAAGTCATCTATTTCATTATTACTTCAATCCATCAATTCTGCACAACTGTTGCAAACATGCCTCTCGGACGTGGAAATACAATATCTGAAACACAATTACGGATGTTGCGCAATGCATTTATTTTCTACAACGTGTTATTTCTAAATCATATAAGTTTATATTATATTACTGTAATTTCAATTTGAATGTTATTAATACTTTTTAATAATTTATTAATTAAAGCTAATTGAAATGGAAAGTAACCAATTATTATTAAGGGAAATTATAATAATTGAAACATATATAAATTATAATAATTTAACCGTTTATTTGCGCATTGCATAAGATTCAATATTCGCCTGTCTGTATTTTATCAATGATTTCTATTTAAAACACGAGTTGCGACATAGTTGCACTATTTATAACAAGGCAGCATCTTCCAAACACCAACTGGTGCATTTTTTACCTGAAATCTAGTTCTCGTACAAGGTTTTATATTTTTGTTTCTTATCGATTAAACAGTTACATAGTGATAACAAGCGTTGCCTCTACAAATTAGATTAATACAACAAATAAAGTTGGTTAATTGGTAATGCCCCTGGGTTAACTAAAGCAATTACGTAATCTCATGTCGTTCACGTTTCAAATTAAGCACTTCAGTTGCTGCTACTAACATTGGATCAGGATTTTATCGGGTATCGAAATAGAAAATTAACTTTAAAATTATAAAAATACATTTACTTTTTGCTCTTTCCAACGAAATTTGTTTTGTTTTTATAATAATGCAATAATTATTATATAATTTTGACCAAATTATATATCTTTATATATTAATAGATTCTCATTGAAATATATTAATTGATCTTGTTGCAATTGCATCTAACTATTGATTTATTTTCAATATTCATAGAACTCAAACAATATAAAAAGATAAATGATTTTTGGAATTGAAACGAACGATCGTCAACATTCGCTGTAAAATTCCATCACAGAAAACCCCTGCTATGGGTCAAAGTTCATTATTCAGTACACGGTGATGGAATTTCGAATTAAAAAAAACAGTAAGTGTTGAAAACAGACTCGATCAATCATTTATCAGATTTTACAGTTTTTAACTATATTTTGTTTTATAAATATTTATATTATAAATGTATTTACTTATAGATTTAATTATATTCATTAATTTTAATACTTAGATGAATAATGCAGATTTGAAACTGAACGTGGGTTGAAAGATGTCACCTTTAGCTTCCTTTGTTTGCAGCTGTTAATTTAGGGTCAATTTTAACAGGAGTGCAAATTCGAATATTTTCAACATATTTTACATTTTTATTTCCATAAAGACAAGAAAGCCGTTGAGGGTGTGTCTATATCGCAAGCCCGACAACCGAAAGACCGTCTATTGAAATCCCGACATTCGAAATCCACATTATATCAAAATCTCGACAACCATAATCCCGACTGTATCAAATATATCGAAAATTTTTACAATAATATTTTTAAATTATTTCGAAGTATAGTCACCTTGTGCTACACTTAATAACAATAAATTATTATTAATTTATTTGATTTTGTTGAATTATTCATAATAAACCTTAACATTATGAAATAATCTCAAATACAATTGGATTATTAATTGTTGTTATTTAATATTAATAACAATTTAAAAGACATTTTCGATATAATCGGGATTTTGATACAGTCGGAATCATGGTTGTCGGGATTTTAATATAGTCGGGATTTTGATATAGACAGGATTATGGTTGTCGGGATTTCGATACAGTTGGGAATGTGATTGACGGTATTTCGGTGTCGGGCTTGCGATTACCACCGGTTGAGAGTCACGAGATGTTGATTATTTAAAAGAAAGCACACGTATCAGAATTGGTTTAAAAAAAACGAAACGAAGGTTTATTGGCCGCAGTCTTCCTGCTTGATATTGTTTTATTAAACGATATGCATAATAAATGTACAAAACATATGAAATAATCTATTATTAACATATAAAACCCAGTTAACAATCGTCCAGTTGTCCCGTACCCTAATATAAACTTTCTAATATGAAATGCATTTTTGTTCCTTTTTATGATATTGCCATGTACAACCATATAAAAATATAAATTGCTGAAAGTATCCAGTGTACATTTCATATTCATATTTTCCTTACGTACAACTTTTATGATTTACTAAAAATTGGGTCACATCGATGAAAATTAAACGAATTCTTGTTCAAGAAATTTTATTAAATATTTTTACTTTATATTAAAAAAAAATATATATATTAGTGCTTCGAGCAATAATCGTAAATGTTTCAATTTTATCAAAAAACAATATTTACTTAAGATGCAATTTATAGATTGCATGCAAGAAATTTAATACGTGCAAGTTACAATTAGTCCTCCAACTAATTGTAATTAACAATATTCTCAGTATAATTAAAAACACCGGATTTTAATAATTGGGTCGAGAGCACTTTGAGACAAATTAGGGCCAATAAAAAAATTGTAAATAATAATTATTCATTTATGTACTAATATTTGGGCCAAAGAGCATACGATCAAACTCTTTCCACTTAAATACATTTATTGTCTTCCTTTTTTTTACTGAACATTACAAACAATAAAATTGATATATTTTTTGTATTGGTATTGTATCACAATTACAATTAAATAATTAAATTACTTTGGGTTAAAACTAAGTTAACTTTTAATTTGAGTAAAATAAGAAGTTGAGAGTTTGAAGCACTACTCTCAATTTGCAGTATTCTCCGAATAATTTAATTCACTTAAACTGCTGCCTGCTTATTTGCTGCGGATTCCTTATTTCATTATTTACATCTAATAATAGAGACAGAAGGACATATATTCCCAGTAGAAAGATGTAAAAAATATTAATATTAATTAGTACATGATAATAATAATAATAATAATATTTACTTATAATTGATGTAAAATAATAATATTTAAACTTATATAATGTATTCAGTAAACTAGATAAATATGCATAATTTATACTGAGAAGTTTGATAAACTTACTACAAGTAAATATTGCCATTAGTTTTTTCGTAAATACAGAACTGAATACGATTTGAAACTTACAAATATTCATTTTGATAACATAATTTTAACTATATTGTTGATTGTGGTAAAATTAATTAGAAAATAAATTAAAATGTATGTGTTTATATCTTATAAATTAAGTTATTACAATCAGATATTTTGTATATTGGTGAAACTTTTTCTGTCTTTAATAAGATGACAAATGATTGGAATTTAAGTATTTATTGATATTGTAAATTCAGTATTACAAATGATGTAACGCATTTCTAAAATTAAGCAACACACGTAAACAATAAACACTTGTGATGATTATATTCATAGAATATAATCTGAAACTGAAGGATGAAGGAAACTTACATTATTTATATAACTGTCTTCATATTTTTACGAAACTAATCGATTTTTCCAGGATCAACAATTTGCAGTTGCCGCGATTTCGTGAGTGGTAGTCGGGGGGGTGCCGGGACTCGTTCTCGTTTCACAGGAATACTGCGAGAAGCAGTTGCGCTCCAACTGGTCTTTATCCAGAAACCCGTGCAGTCAGGCTTCTTCACATGCGCGCTTCCAGAACGATTACAAACTTCTGAATTGAATACAAACATACATGAATATTATACATTTAGTCGTGACATAGTTTATGATGTCTTATTTAAAATAATGTAAACTAGCAATAAAAAAAATATTAATTATAAACTCGCAATATAAAAAAAAACGTTTTATTAATTATAGATTAATAAAATATATTTAAATTAAATATTTGGGATCGAAAATAACGAAGCGTTATTTTGTGTTGAAAGAAATGTTTAGCAACATGCAAATAGCGACGTGAAAAAATATGTTATTAGTTTGTGAGTTGATTGAAATATCTGGAAATATTTTTTGATTGATCGTGCAAAAAATTAAATACTAATTTTGTAGAAACTTCCATATTGTATATTTACTTGTTAGCAGGTTTGTAATTGCTCAATTGATCATGATATAATTTTGGTGCGAATTTCATGAGATTACTTGTTTCGTTTATAAAACATTTGTATACAATAAAAACTGAAATGATTATTAACGATTGAAAAAAAATGTGTAGCGAATGTTGAGAAACGTGTGCGTCGCTCACGGGTTTACTTTTACGAGAACTTCTCAAACACCAATTTTTTTTTTATAATAACCAAGATTTCATATAAAAGTACTGTACATTATTTCTAAGTCAGGTCAGATGAAATAAGAGTTAAAAATAAGATGTTTTGAAATTGTGCGGAAATACCTATGCCTTTTTTTCTTTTCATTTTATTCAAGAAAAACTTATTTAAAGTTTCAGATTTCATATTTAAATTAAATCTTTAGCAATTTGAATTACTAAATCATTATATGAAATGTATTGAAATACGTAGTATTCCCCGACTTACGAACTCCCGAACAAAATTCTAAAAGCTCTAACTTGTTATAAGGAGATATATAGTGATAAAAGTAAAAACCATGATAATGTGTGGTCAGATAATTATATTTTGAAATTTTAAAATTGAGATTGTACCAAGAGTTTGCGTTTTAATTAAATTGAAAATATTAAATTAACAATTAGATTTATTATAAAAATTGAACAAAACAATACTCAATTTATTTAATTTATATTTATTTTACAACAAATTAAAAACACAATGTATGCAAATCAAGAAATCTTCTAACTAAATAAAGTACATAACAATTTATTGCTTATCTACATTTTTTGTATGCTGGAAGGATTTGAAGAAGTTATATAATAATAAATTTACTTAGTGTTTTTTTGCTACAATAATAATATTTTGCTAATAAACATTTTCGGTTCTATAGGAAATAATAAATATGATATGTTTTTCAGATAAGTATTTTTTTTAATATAAGTTTTGCTGAAAATTGTTGTTTTTAATGAAGCTACACGATAGTATATTTATAATAGTATCCGGCTTCAGATTTTTTGCTATTCTCAATAAACTTTCAATCTATCTACATAATACCATGTCCATTCGCCTTAGAATCAATATGTTTTCTTTCACGGATTCGCTTGAAATGAAAATGTATTTACAGCATGGGGCAAACAATATTGAAAGATGCACTTCTATATACTGTTGTGATACTATTATTTGATGAATGAGTTAAAATGTTTACAATTATATAATAAACAAAGATGCACGATTTAATATATACTTTCATTCATTTTATTTTTAGAGATATACCTAAAGGGCAATCTGATCACGTGAACTATGTAACATTGAGTAATTCACGTGGTCGACACGACAGCTCTATTAACAGAAACCAATCTATTGAAATTACATTAATTTTTCTAAACATTTACGTGGAACAAATTTATTTGTGTATCTCACTAGTTTTAAAGAATCCCGAGTGATTTAGGGACTGAATAATATGTTAACAAGTTTAGCTGACTGTACATTTTTTTCTTTCACTTTCGTAGTTAACAAAGAACGATTTAATTCTTAAAGACTTTTCTAAAACCGAAACAATTCTTCCCGTAAGAACTAATGGATATAATTGGAATGATCGGACCAAACAGAACTCACCAGGACAGAACATGAGAGGATGAAACAGAATGTAATACAAGAGAATTTTATATATGTTCATATGTTCATAATTAGCTACAAATACAAACCAATCCTTGTATGGACATGAAAAAGATGACACATATTTGATAAGTAAATAATTTACGCCAATTTGTTAATTAAAAAACTAATAATACCGTATTATTTATATACAGATTATTAATATTGCTGATTTTACATAAATGCAAAACTGCAGTTTACTAGTATTTAAAGTTTTAATACCATACATTAATCCTAGCATCTATCAAATATGTAATGTGTGTTTCGATTATGTTTAAGCGTGTATGCAATAATTGTGTTGAATTATTTAGGGATTTTATAGAATTAAATTGAAACAAACAAGAACATTTCAATTTTTAATGGCTTTTATTTACATTTCCAAAAATCATGAATATAAATTTTCAGTTATATAAGCGGTGTCTATATATAAAATGTGTTACATCACGTTGCAATTTGAATACTATTATACAAATTTTTATGTAGTAGTTACTTTAATTATTATAAATTACTTATGAAGATTTCCCCAAGTTGAATAAGTGCTATGTTTACACTTGCTTTACATTTATATTATTAGTAAGAAATTATAAGGTAAGAAGGTATTAATTATTTCATATATAAACAATTTTTTTTTAATATTAAGCAAAACCAAATCGGCAAATGAATCCAATCCAAATGCTATTCTCGCCGCAACTTCTTTAACTTTCGTGATGACATGAATTCTACAAATATCTACCTAACCTTCATATCATATGACAGTGTATGTCACGTAATTATTTTTTTTTTCACATTTCAAGTTACAATCGTATATACAAATGAAGAGAAGAAACTAGAAGAATGTAATAACAAAGTTTGTTTAATTATAAAATGAAAGTAGCCGCTGCAAATCCTGTGTTTATAAAAGAATTTTTGAAAATCCACAATGAATATAGATATAGGCATGGAGTTGAGCCTTTGAAGTTGAGCAGAAACATTTGTAAAATAAGTCAGACCCACGCAAACTGCCTAATGGAGGGCACGACCGTCGAGCAAGCAAGCAGCAACCAGAAATATGGAGAGAACATCTACATGGCCAACAGTTTACCGGACACTCTCCTCAATCCGAACGAACCACTACGAGAATGGTACAACGAAATATCAAACTACGATTTCACGCAAGAGCCGGATCCTTCGTCAAAATGCAAAAACTTCACGCAAATGATTTGGAAGGATTCCAAAGAGATCGGCGTCGGTTTTGTCTCTTTCGAACATACTCACATTGTGGTTGCAAGTTATAGTCCGTGTGGTAACATCGGAGGACGATATTTGGAGAACGTTCTTCCTGTACGAGAAGATACCAGTATTAGTTCAATGAGAATATTTAAATAAATAAAACTTTCTTTCTCTCTTGCTATTTGTTAAAAGTTGAATGTTGAATAAATTGTAATATAGTTTAAGTATGAAGTGTTTTGCATTGAGAAACAGTTTTATTCACTTTTAGTAGATTTTATTTTGTATGTTTTGTATAAGACTGAAATCTTTTCTTTACATATTTCCATCAAATTGGTGAATAGTTTAAGACTCTTAAATTAAGGGTATTAAATACTGAAAAAATCGTACTTATATTTGAAGAATAGTCAGAAGTTGTTTCATACACAGTTGTTTAGCCGTTTGGCTGTAATTTGTGTTCAAACTTGAGAAAATGCTCGAAAAAGCAGTGTTT